AACCACTGTGCTACTAGGGAAGCCCAGGAATGGTTTATTAAATGACTTTTGTTTTAGAATGATTTATTAAATAAGAGACAAAAGGATCAATCTATAAAGGAAAAGACTGAGCAAATCAGTTGCATTAGGATTAGAAAGAAACTTCTGTGCACTAAAAGGCATCATAAACCTACACACACAGACACACACAGGACAAGAAGCAGAGCTTGAGAAAACATTTGTGATACATATAATTAACAAAAGATTAACAGTCAGAATCTATAAAGAAATTTTACTAAGTGTTAAAAAAGGCAGAAATTCACTAGAAAAATAGGGAAAAGATATGAGCAGCAAATGCATAAAGGAGGAAATTTGAATATATATATATATTTATATACCTCATATATATGTTTAACCTCATTAATAATCAGAGGGATAACATTATATTAATAATGAAACACCGAGTTGACATAAAATCAGATTTACCAAGATTTAACAATATCTACAGGAGCTGAAAATTGCTTTAACCCATCAATTCCACTTCTAAGAATATGTGGGGTTTTTTAAATTAATTAATTAATTTTTGGCTGTGTTGTGTCTTCGTTGCCGTGAGGGCTTTCTCTAGTTGTGGCGAGCGGGGGCTACTCATCGTTGCAGTGTGCGGGCTCATTGTGGTGGCTTGTCTTGTTGCGGAGCATGGGCTCTAGACATGCAGGCTTCAGTAGTTGTGTCATGTGGGCTCAGTAGTTGTGGCTCACGGGCTCTAGAGCGCAGGCTCAGTAGTTGTGGCACGTGGGCTTAGTTGCTCCGCGGCATGTGGGATCTTCCTGGACCAGGGATTGAACCCGTGTCCCCTGCATTGGCAGGTGGATTCTTAACCACCGTGCCACCAGGGAAGTCCTACCATTTCTTTTTTGTAGTGAGAACATTTAAGATCTACTCTCTTAGGAACTTTTGAGTATATAATATGGTATTATTGATTCTAACCACTAAATAAATATGTCTCAAGCAACTATTGCAAAGTGTCAACGTTTAAAAAATCTGAGTAGAGGTTTTCGTGATATTTGCTATGTTACTTATACTACATTATATTTTTTATTATGAAATATCTCAAATATATATCTAGTGGGCCACTTTCTGGCAGGACCCAGTTTCAGGTGTGAGTGGATTTTTCTTTTTCCCTATGAGATAAAATTCAGCCATACCCCTTCCTCCCATCTGAAAAAAGAAAAAATAAATTTTTGATTCTCATGGCAAAACAATATTGTTGTAATTTAGATTACCTACTTCCTTGAATAGAATAAGCTGTTTTTAAAAATATGCAAGTATCTGGGCATATTTGAAAAGTAACCAAGGCAGTTTTCATCTTTGAATCTGATGTGGTTTTGAGAGCTATATATGAAAACTGGACCAGCATATGGGACCTGAGCGTGGAGGGTTCCCTGGGAGCCTGTTGGGCTCCAAGTCACTGTTTGGATGCTAAGGTTCCGTTCAGTTTTTCATCTTCTGTCTTCAGGGAACTCTCATACCTACAGGGGAAGAAGTGGTTTAGGGGTTGATAGTGAACTATAGAAAAAAAGAAAATGAGATTTTAATTGTTTTCATTTCAAACAACTTATCACAAAAGCATTTTAATTGTTTATATAAAACTATCATAATTTGTGTAGAGACCACAGACCTATGGCTTAAGACGAAGCTCATATGAAAACATTTAAAAGCATAATGAAATCATATTTAACTTGCATATCATTAGGGCCAAAAAGAGCAGGATATCTTTTGGAGTGTTTTAAAATATAATTTAGGATTTTACATCTTCAGTCCTTGAAATTACAAAGGATCTCTTGTAGGATGAGAATATGGTATCCACTGTAGTTATATGTAGGAAGTCAGAGAGGGTTCTAACTTCCTGTGATTGTACTGAGTAATGTGTGTCTTGACCCCAAACCCCCATCAATGGCTGTGGAAACTTTTGCTGTGTTAGCTGCTGCTCTCCTGCCTTTGCACAGAGGCAGTATGGGATGCCACTTATTTGATTTGTAATGGTTCCTTTTGAACCCTGTAACTACGTAGGTTACTGTATATGCTTCAATTCGTTCATCATTCAAATCCAAAAATGACATATAGCTCTCAAGCACTGTCTGTGTTACTTGGTTGGCATGTATGAACTGACTTTGATTCTCTGTATAACTTCTAAGCTGTCAGTTTTATGTAGGCTTGGGAGCCTTATAGCATGAATATGGAATAGATTGTAAGCAGTATTAAAAAGAACAGCTTGGGATGGAACAGTGTGTCCTCAGGGGCCAAAATTCAAGGCAACATAAAGTAATTTTTTTGTGACATAAAGTATAACACTTGTATATGGTAGCGATAAATAAAATAAAACAGATATCTTCAAAGTTCCCACATGCAGTATAATTTTTAAAAAATATTTTAAGATTGGGGCCTTTTGGGAATAATGAGCTGTTTCCAAAGTAGATTGAAAAGAAAAGAATTGCCTTAATTTGGGATCAAAGTTTTACTAGAAATTTTGCTGTCAGTCATTCTGGATTGGATGAAAAAGGGTAGGGACTGAGAGGTGAGTGGTGGGTTGCATGAATGAATTTGTGCTGTAGACCGAACTCCTCTTTCCATAGCTCACTCCCTCTCATTCGGGCATGTTAGAGACAAGAACAGAATATGTCGAACCTATAGCCAGTGGTTAAGAGCATTAGCTTTGGAGGTAAACATTTCTGGGTTGACACCCTGTTTCTTCCAGTTGCTAGCTGTGTGACCTAGGCAAAGTTACTTACCTGCTCTGTGCCTCCTTTCCCTCATTTGTGAAGTGGAGACAATCACAACTACCTCACAAGATTGTTTGTGAAGATTAACTGAGAAGTAGTTCCTGAGGGGTTGTGTGTGCTCAATAAAGAGGAATCTTTTTCCATTTCACTGCAGCTATTCCCTTCATCTCTTGTCTGATCCGTTGTTGTCCCTTTCCTGCACCACTTTCATCATGTCACACACCTGCTTGCAACCCCTAAGTGACTCCCTAGTATTTACAGGATAAAAGTAAAATTCCTTGGTCTAGAGAGTGCAGTCATGTCTGGAGTCCTGCTTTGGAATCTGTGCTAGTTTTCTATTGAGTAAGAGATTACTACAAGCGTAGTAGCTTAAAACAACACACACTTGTTATCTCACAGTTCCTGTGGGGCGGGACTCCAGGCACACCTTAGCTGGATCTGCTTCTGAGTCTCATAAGCTTACAGTCAAGGTCCCGGCTAGAGCTGTGGTCTCATCTGCAGCTCAACTGGGGATGAATCCACTTCCAAGCTAATGTGGTTAGTGGTAGCATTTAGATCCTCATATGTTGCTGAACTGAGGTCCTTAGGATGTCAGTCAGAGGCCATCTTCAATTCCTCACCATGTGGCCCTATCCATAGGATAGTTCACAACATGGCATCTTGCTGCATCAAAATCAGCAAGGGAGAGTCTTCTGGCAAGATAAAAATGGCAACCTTATGTAACATAAACATGTATATCCTGTCACTTTTGCTATATTCTCCCAGTTAGAAGTGAGGCACAGGTCCTGCTCACCCTCAAGGGGAGGGGGACACACAAGGGTGCCCCAGCAGGAAGGAGGGATCACAGGAGCCATCTTAGTGTCTGCCCACCACAGGATCCAGGATTCAGATGCCGGCATTTAGTTACCAGCTCCACTTTTTATTTCTCTTAGCCCCTTTCTACACATAGGAAAAATGGAAATAGAATAATTTTCTATCTCGTGGGGTTGTTAAGAAGACCAAATGAGGTAAATTATTTTGCAAAGTACTCTACACCCATCTATCTCCTACCTACTTTAAGGTCTGTCTTAAGTTCCACCTCCTCCAGGAGGGCTTGCCAAATCTGGTCCCTGTAACAGGAACTGCTTAGCCCCACTCATAGTTTATACATTATCATATGCTCTTGTTTCAGTAGTGAAACATTCATGATGCGTATCTTATCTGTTTGATAAAACTGTCAGCCACTTAAGGACAAGGACTTTTTTCCCTGTAAGTGATAAAGTAGCTATGATTTTTAAATGCTTGGGATATATCAGGCACTTTGATAGGCATTATATCGCTTGTTAAATTTTCTCGCCTTTACAGCAACCCTTTGAGGTAAGTTCTACTATTATTACTCTCATTTTCCGAGTAAGGTAACATGACTCAGAGAGGCTAAGTAATTTGTTCAGGGTCACAATAGCTAGTCAGAAGTGTCTGACTCAAGGAATGGAGTTCTTACTTGCCTCATATGCTACCTCTTTTATAGGGTCTGGAGAAGTACAATGTACAAAATAGTTGCTCATTTCAGTCTTTGATAAATGGAAATGAGCTTGTGTGCTGAGAGAAGACTGCATTGGATAAGTCTGGAGAAGTCCACTTGCTTACTGATGGTCAAGATGGGGGGGCAAGTGAATCCTGGCATCATCACCTGCTTATTGGTTTCTTTTGCTGGTAGAAAATCACCACAGCTACCAAATGGCCATGTTCTGGGCAACCTTGACTGGGGATCATACTTTAAGATCAGAATCTCTGGTAAATCATGGCACCATGGAGCTTCCTGTAAACTGGTTCTCATTTCTTACGGTTCTCATCGCCATGAGGAGCTGTATGCCCAGGAAGTCCGCTCTGAGCTCTGCTGGACTCTCCCTTTAGAGCACTCGTCCTTGAATCCTTGAACAACTCGCCCACGTCACAAGTGCTAAGACCATACCTTCCAGGGCCTCACAACATGAATCATCTGTGAGAATTCACTTCCGGTTCTGGGGACAGGACCCTTGGGAAAACTAAGCACTAGGTCAGAAAGAGAGTGTGACCAAGTGTGGCTTGGTCACTCTTAACCTAAACTTTGACCTTCAGCAAAGTAGAGAATTAAATCACTCAGGAAATATTAAATGTTCCACCAGATGCTCTTTGGACTATATCTTCTGTTCTATCTATTCGAGCAGTGCCATTCTAACTTCAACTTTATTACTATTATTATTATTTTTTTTGTCGTTTCAGAATGCAGCCGGGGCCAAATGGTCTGCCTTTTATGAAGAACAATCCAGGATTGCCAAAACTTATCCACTAGAAGAAATTCGGAATCTCACACTCAAGCGTCAATTGCAGGTCCTTCAGCAGAGTGGGACCTCAGTGCTCTCAGCAGACAAGAGCAAACGAGTACGTGACATGCTAGCATTGACCCCAAGAGTTGAAATATTGGGGAAATCTTAAACATTAATATCACCCCTGGCTGCTGCCTTTATCTGCCAAGATAGCAATGCTCACAATAGAAAGAGCTCTGTGCCTCGGTAGGGTGGCCACGTAACTTATCATCCAAACCGATATCCTTTGAGAGTGAAGTAGGACACTGGTATGTTGGGACACATTGTTAAAGCACGATTCTAAGGGCGCTGTGGTGTATATGGACACAGTGACAGAGGTCACCTTCCTGAGGACCAGGCACTTAGTCCATGTCCGTGCTTCTCAACCGGGAGTGATTTTGCCCGCCAGGGACATTTGACAATATCTGGAGACATTTTTGGTTTTTACAACTGTTGAGGGGTGCTGTTGGCATCTGGCGGGTAGGGATGCTGCTAAACACTACAAGGCGCAAGGAAGCCCCCAAAGACAAGAGTCGTCTGGTCCAAAGCGTCAGTGGTGCTAAGCTTGAGAAGCCCTGCATATCGTCTGATCCTCCCCCACCCCTTTGACTCTTGACTCTCCTCTGCAACTTCTTTAACAAATGGCTAAACCACCCCAGCTCAAACTGCTTCAGGGATGGGCGACTTACTTCTTTCCAAGAGGCCAGTTCCGTATGTGGGTCCCTCTAACTGATGGCAAGATACTCCTTCCATTGAGCATAAAGTGCTTTTCCTCCACTCTGTACCGCCTTCTCGAGCCAAATTGCTCTCTCCCATAATGGTCTTTAAATAAAGGAAGGCAGGTAATTTTTTTTTTAACTAGTTGAGTCTTTTCTTCTCTAGGCTAAACATCCTTCACTCTGTCCATTTTTCCTTATACGATGGTTTCAAGTTCCCTAACCAGTCCTAGTTGCTGGCTTCATTTTGTCAGTATCCTTGGACTGAACACAGCCCTCCGAGTGGGTTTGGGTCTGCCTGGAGGTGAGCAGGGGTACGACATCCTGCCTCCTGTGCTTTACATCTACTAAGACAGCCCAGGATTACATTAGGCTCCTGTTTGCTTGCTTTGGTTTTTTGACAGTCAAATTCCATGGTTGATTCATCTCAACATCACTGTCAAGAAAGTCTCCAAATCTCTTCCACCAATGTTGCTCCAAAAATGATACCTTTGAAAATTCTATTCTTATGTAGGTAGTTTGTCTAAATTCAAGAAAGCCTACATTCACCCCTGTTAAAATAAAAATCTCTCATCCTATCTCTCTAGCCCAGGAGTCAGCAAACTTTCTTTCTGTAAAGGGAACGATAGTAGATATTTTAGGTTAGTGGGCCATACTGTCTCTGTCCCACTGAGTCAGTCTGCTCTTGTTGCGGGAAATCAGCCGCAGCTAACACAGAAACAAATGGGCATGGCTGTGTTCCAATAAAACTTTACAAAAACAGGCAGCAGACAGGATTCGGTCTGCAAATCATAATTTACAGACCCTTGATTTGATCTATTGAAATATTTTTATCTAAAAGATTTGCCTATTTAACATCAAAGTCTTTCTCAGCTGCTTGCCCTCTGGTACTGTGTTCTTATCTGCATCTATAAAAAGAAAAATGCACGATAAGGACAAAGGTCAAACCATATGGCCTGTGTCTTCCTACAAGCTGTTGTTTATTATTCTGCATTCTTTGGGGCCCATTATTCAAATAGTTATTAATCCACTTTATTTTATCCATTTCGCCCTGCCCCATCTTTTCCACAAGGACACCGTCTTGCCCGTTGCTCTGTTACAATCTAGAGCTTGGTCTAGTCTAGGTGGAAACTGGACATTGTATTTTAAAAAGATCCCCAGATAATTCTGATGTGCAGCCAGGATTAAAAATCACTGAAATGCGTGTAAGAAGAGCTTGAAGTGTTTGGGAGGAGGGGAGACTCAAGGATGCATGAATTCAATGGAGAGGAAGGAGGGGAGATGGAAAAAGCAGGTAGAGAAAGAGAGCAGGAGGGGTTTTGTGCCATGGTAAGGGACTTGGGTTTATTCCTTTGGACTGTGGGATCTTGTTGAAGTTTTAAGCATGAGATCTGTTTCATGTTTTAGGATAATGGCTCTTGTAGTAGAGTGAAGGAATAACGGAAGAGAGAAATAGGAGAAGGGGAAACAGGGCCGTTCATCCAGTGATTCTTAAATCATCTATGGGAGAGAACCAGTCCCTCCCTCCCTCCCTCCCTCCCTTCCTTCCTTCCTTCCTTTCTTCCTTCCTTCCTTCCTTCTTTCCTTTCTTCCTTCCTCCCTCCCTTCTTCCCTATCTTTCTTTATTTCCAATCCATTGCAGATCAGTGCTTGGTTAATTTCATTGATCACATGCTTAGCTGTCATAGAAATATCAAATCGTTTTTAAAAGTTTATAAACCTTTATTCTCTCAATTCCTGTGCTTCTCATAGACGAGAAACAAACTATTTGCTGACTTGCACTGGTCCATGGACCATACTTTGAGTAGCACTGCTTTACTCTATTACCTTTATGCTCCTTTACCCACAGGGTAAAAGTTAAACTCTTCAGTAAGGCATAGAAGGCTGCTCATGATCTGCCCCTACTTCCCTCTACTCTCCCATCCTCCATGCCCCTCAATCAACACCACTACCCCAGTTTTCTCTCTCATGTCACCACTCCCTGAAAATGCCTTGTCTTTCTCAACCTTCTTCTGTCTTGTAAGCTCTGTCCTCTACTTCCCTTCTCTACTTGACCAATTCCTACCTCTCTTCCAAGACACAGCTCTATTGTGCCCCCTCTTTGAAGCCATTCCTGAATCTCCAGGTTATTAATTTATCCACACCCCCCCATGCTGCCACATCACTTTTTGGCCACAGTTATAGTACCTGTCACTCTATTATGTAATCATTGGTTTCATGATTGTCTCACTGTCGCATGATTGTGGGGTCCTTGAGGACCAGTGACTTGTTCATGTCATAATTGTCAGAGTGTAGGACATAGCAGATGTTCAACAAATGTGCACTCAGTGAAGGCTGAATGGAATAAGAAATGCACTGCTCTGTGCGTGTGTGGGTGAGAAACATTCTTGGGATTTTGGCAGATCTGTTCTGTTTTGTTTTTTTAGTCACTCCACATATATTTATCATGTGCTTATAAGGCCCGTCTGTGCTAGTCGACGGTGGGAAAATTTAACTGAGGTGTTCCAACCCTACATGAAAGAAGATACTTAGCCAAGAAGATGTGAACTGCTGTATTTTGAGGCATAAAAAAATCACATGGTTGAAAGGACATCTCTGCATTAGCATTCTCTTTTGTACATCTTCCACTTTTAACATTGTTTATTATCTTTAATTTGCAGTTGAACGCAATTCTAAGTACAATGAGCACCATCTACAGTAGTGGGAAAGTTTTGGACCCAAATACACAAGAGTGCTTAGTACTTGAACCAGGTGGGCTATTAATTTTGAGCAGTGATTATAAAATTTCCTTTTTTTATTCCAAGCTTTAAAAATGAGATTAACATTAGATGACGACATTGTGCCTTTCAGATGGATCATCTAAAGAGGGGAAGATTCCAAATGTGTGTGTTTCAGCACACAGATGCTCTTTTAAGTTTTAACAAAACTGCACTGGGAATTTTGTCACACTCAAGTAATCTAATGAAATTAATAGTTCAATGATCTCAGTGGTTTATTTTCTCTGCAGAAATCTTTTGAAACTATAATAAGGGTGAGGAAATGAACGAATCATGAGATTTCATTGAACAACTTTATGACCTTGATGTCTGCCAGCCTTTTAATTCTTTAAATTTCATATAAGTCTTTACAAATAAAAACTTTACAAATGCATGTTTATTTCCCTTTGGGTACTGTGCGATAATAGGTTTGGATGACATAATGGAAAACAGCAAAGACTACAATCGGAGACTCTGGGCTTGGGAAGGCTGGAGGGCTGAGGTCGGCAAGCAGCTGAGGCCATTATATGAAGAGTATGTGGTCCTGGAAAACGAGATGGCCAGAGCCAACAGTGAGTTTGCTGGGCTGTGGCGGTTCTGAAGCTCTCTGCAGGGCTTCGGGGCTATTTCTCATGAATCACCAAGCCTGCCCTTTGATCTAAGGGGTATTCCTAATTTAACAGTCACCTGCTGAACAATTAGGTTACGTGTCTCAAAGAGGAGACCACCAGGGAGTAAGGAAAGGTGAATTGACATTGTACGGTTGAAAGGGCTCAAGAGTGAGACTAAGTTACCAGGCCTCAAACAAATCAGTTGTCTGGGAAGAGCTCAGGCCCCCGAGGGTTCCTGAGGTAGTCTGGGGGATTGATCGATTCTATTTACCAGAAAGGATGAGAGTCAGAGACACCATCTCTCCCCTAAACTCCCATCTGGCCACAGTTCATTCTCAAAGGTCATTTGTGTGTTTACGTCAGAGTGGTATCCCAGAACGAAACAAATCAGAGTAGTTTAGGCTGGAAACCTACTATTCTCTGTAGTTGTAATTATAACTCAAATCACGTGGTCATCAAAATCTTAACATGGTGAGGAATTTCCATATCTCTTAACTTACCCTCCAGCCTGAATAATGAGCCGAAGCCATAGCATTATGAATTAATTTATGCTCTGGGGTTGAGGAAGGAAAAACATTTTTCATCTGTTCTTTCTAAATGTCTTTCACTACCACTTAAACTCATGTTCTCAAGCCACAGGCAAGCTGGAGACAGGAGCCCATCGCCACATCCTTCCATCCAAATATTTACTTGTCTCCTCATCTTCCTGATCATCCATTGCCAACGTGCATGTAAAAATAAAAGTTGCTAAAATACATTTACAAACTTTACTAACTATTACCCTGACACAAGCTTGCATTTCCTGATAACAAGACACTACATGAAGCATACGTTCAATTTGCCAGCAAACACAGGCCCACTGTGGCCGTGTCCAAGATGAGTTGGGTTAGATTTGAAAATATAAGGCCCTGAGCAAAATGAGAATTTAAAGATCCAGTCACACGTTTTAAAGCTAAGGATGCAAATTGACCTATGGAGAGAGTAGAGACCTGGGGTTAGGAGACTCGGAGTGCGCCTCTGCCCCTCACCAGTTGTGTGACCTTGGACGAATCGTTTAACCGGCCAAGAGCAGGCTGTTACCCTGCACCACGGGGATTATAATACTGTCTGTCTTGTAGAGTTTTTGTGCTTTGTAGATGAGATAATGAATTAAAATTTGGACACATTAGCTAGTGTTATTATTTATTTGCATCCCTTTGAGTTGATATTTAGAAGGGCAATAAAAATGTGATAGGTTTTTGGAGTTTTTAACCTCCCAGGAAAGCTATTCTGTGTATATTGTGCTTTATCTCTTCTTTCCAGATGTTCTCATTTTTCTTCTTTTTAAAAACAGATTATGAGGACTATGGGGACTATTGGAGAGGAGATTATGAAGTGACGGGGGCAGGTGACTATGACTACAGCCGCGACCAGTTGATCACAGATGTGGAACGTACCTTTGCAGAGGTAACAAGGAACTGTCTGCAGAGACGGACGTAGGGCAGCATGCAGGAAGAAGGGACAGGGACCAAAAGCATTCTGGCTTGTTCTTAACACACTGGCTGGTCGTTCCCAGGCCTCAGAGTTACGGAATATTAGAGCCTGGCAAGATTGTAAAGAATCACAGGGCAACTGCTGCAGATGATCGGAATTGCTCTGCTCTTCTCTCCCTTTTAGCCATTGAGCAGCAGTTACCAACAGGAAGATTATGAGAAGGAAAGACTATAGGAAGGAGCGGTCTTTTACATTATAAGAAGGCATGGGTTTCAGGAGCTAGGTGGGGCCTGTGCTGTCTTCCTTTGTTAGCAGAGCCACAGGCTTTGCTTCCTTCCTCAGGACACTTGATACTGTTGTTTCCTTATCTTTGGCTAAGGAAGATGTTCTAGGGAAGGGAGAGTCCTATTAGAAGTGCCCCATAGACACCTCTCAATGTCTCGCTCTTCCTTCATTTTGACCCCCACATCCCCATGCCTTCCAGCTTCTTATGTGAAGCTGTTCTGTCACAGCCATAGCTGGGCAGAGCTATCAAAAACGGAAGTAGGACAAACAACCCCCCCGAAAAAGAAATGGGCGAGAGATGTGAGTAAGTACATCATCAAAGAAATTACACAAATGGCAAATAAGCAAATAAAACGTTATTAGGGAAATGCACATTAAAACCATGATTAAGAACCACCACAAACAGAGTTACCATATGATCCAGCGCTCCCACTCCTAGGCATATATCCGGAAAAGAGGAAAACACTGATTTGAAAGGATACACGCACCCCAATGTTCACAGCAGCACTGCTTACAATACCCAAGACATGGAAGCAGCCTGTGTCCATTGACAGATGAATGGAAAAAGAAGATGTGGTATATATATATACACAATGGAATATTACTCAGGCATAAAAATGAATGAAATAATGCCATTTGCAGCAACATGGATGGACCTAGAGATTATCATACTAAGTGAAGTCAGACAGGGAAAGACAAATATCATATGATATCACTTATATGTGGAATCTAAAAAGATGACACAAATGAACTTATCTACAAAACAGAAACAGACTCACAGACATAGAAAACAAACTTACGGTTACCAGAGGGGAAGCGGGGGAGGGATAAATTAAGAGTTTGAGATTAACAGATACACACTACTATATATAAAATAGATAAACAACAAGGTTCTACTGTATAGCACAGGGAACTATATTCAATATCTTATAATAACCTATAATGGAAAAGAATCTGAAAAATAATATATGTATGTATATGTGCATGTATATACATATACACACACACACACACACACACACACAACTGAATCACTTTGCTGTACACCTGAAACTAACACAACAGTGTAAATCAACTATACTTCAATTAAAAAAAAAAAGCCCACTACATTCCCACCAGAATGGCTGTGATTAAAACAGACTAACAGGGACTTCCCTGGTGGTCCAGTGGGTAAGACTCTGCGCTCCCAATGCAGGGGGCCGGGGTTCAATCCCTGGTCGGGGAACTAGATCCTGCATGCATGCCGCACTTAGGAGTCTGCATGCCGCAACTCAAGATCCCGCGTGCCACAACTAAGACCCGGCACAGCCAAAATAAGAAAAAAAAAAAAAAAAAAGACTGACAGTACTAAGTGCTACGGACAGAAATGTAAAATGGTACAGCCATTTTGGAAAATGGTTTGGCATTTTCTTAAAAAGTTAAGCACATACTTACCATATGACTATGGTATTTCACTCTTAGCGATCTATGTGAAAGAAATGAAAACATATAGCCATACAAAGACTTATGCATGAATGTTTATAGAGATATTACTCATAATAGCCCCAAACTGCAGACAACCTAGTCATCCTTCAACTGGTGAATTTTATCCTTAAGATACTAAATGAAGCAAACTCTGATGTATTCATACAATGAAATGTTACTCAGTAATAAAAAGGAATGAACACTGATACATGCAACAATATGGATTAACCTAAAAAGCATTAAGCCAAGTGAAGGAAGCCAGACATGAAAGGTCACGTATTGTATGGTTTCATTTATATGAAATGTGCAGAATAGGCAAAACGATAGAGAAAGAAATCAGTTCAGTGATCAGCTGGGGCTGGGGGTGGGAATGGAGTTGACTGCCAATGGGTGCAAGGAAACTTTGGGGAGTGTTGGAAATGTTCTAAAACCAAGCGGTAGTGATGGTTGTCCAACAGTATACTTTTATTAAAACTCACGAAACTATATATTTTAAAATGGTTGAATTTTATATGTAAATGATACTTCAGTTTAAAAATGAAGGAAGTATGAATGTTTTTTTGCATCTGCCTTCCTTTTGGGATCTGTATCCCTCCAGGTGTGTTAATTGCTTTATGCAGTGGAACTAGTCATCATCGATATCTGGGAAGAATGAATGCTTTCAAACTCTCCAGAATATTTCAGAGGAGAAGAAATTGGAACTTAGGGAAATTCTACTTGTCTAAAGAAGCTCCTATTTTTAGTGTTGGGGATTGGAAATAGGCTATTCTTGGTCTTAAACTCTCTTCCTGAGCTTTTCAGATTAAACCATTATATGAACAACTTCACGCTTATGTGAGGGCAAAGTTGATGGATGCCTACCCTTCCCGTATCAGTCCGACTGGATGCCTCCCTGCCCATTTGCTTGGTAAGAAACTCCAGGAATTCTTTGTGTACTTTGCTCTTTGTCATTTCCACCAATAAAGTTGTTTTTTTGGAGTGAGGCCCAACTTTTGAAAAATTCTGTGAATGAAGTTAGTAACATTATAGAAATCAAAGTTTGAAAGCACTATCTTCAACAGAGAAGTCATTTTAAATTGTTCTCTGTTGCATTACTTTATACATAAAGAGTTATTATGTTGGCCACAATCCATAGGATAAAGGGGTTATTTAAGATCACTAGAGAAATGAGAGTGGAAATGGGGAAGCTAAGTTTTATTAATCAACTTGGTTGGCTAATCCTCGAGGTGGAATTTTAGCATCATATTCAGAGGAAAGAAGCTTGGTTGGCTAGGGGCAGTCAGGGGTGAGAGAAAGACTTTCTAGAATTAAGGTATAGCCTGAGTGAAAGCTTTGTTAAGTTCATTGTTCAACTGCAACAATTTCTTTTGCTGAGAAGTACTTGGTTTGGAATCATATGAGTAATGAATGAAGTCTTCATCATGAAGGAAGATGCCTAGCTTAGGAGGAGAATCAATCTTCCAAGAACTTTGGATCCTGCCATAGAGCTTTTGTAGACCATGCAAGACCTGGGGCCCTTTATTCAACCTCCTTATTCCCCACCAGAGAGTGGCCATCCTCCCTCCCCTCTCCCTCACGCCAGAAGCTGAGGCCAAATAAAATATATGTTTGAAAAGTTCATGTCTTGCATACATAGCATGCCTACTCTAGTCAAGCTAAGTTGCTGACAGCTGATTCTCCACAGCCAAGCCTCACTCTTAGCAGGGGGGAATCTGGACAAAGGATCAGTGGAGACTTTTTCCTCTAAAGCAATATATAAATACTCTCTACAGTGTCTTTGGCAGGTGTTCTTTGGTAATTCACTTTCTGCTTAAACCTGTCTGTTGTCAGGTGGCTCCTTCTTCCTTCCAAAGTAAACTAACCTAAAGTCCTACCTTATGTGGAGGTGAATCAGCACCCCTCTAATGCCTTCCATTCATTTTGCCTAATTCCATGCTATGAGGTTACCCAGAATATGTCCATTCTTCTTCCACAAGATGGCCTTCTAGAGATTTATAAACAACCACTGTCAAGGCACAGCGTAGCACCTGGCACGAGAGTACGTACTCAGTATATTTTAGTGAGTATTACTGTTATCATCACGTATACACTATTTTCTTCTTTTATGTTAAATATCCTACATAGATTTTTCAACCATTCTTTAAAATCTCACTTTTCTACTTGTTCTCCTTTGGACAAGCTATCCTTTGTTGATGTCCCTCTTCAAATATCACGCTCAGAACTGAACGGTTACTCCAGATAAAGTTTGACCAACATGGAGTAAAAATGGTGCTATGGTTTCCTTTGTTCTAGACTCTGTAATTCTACTCGCTTACCCTACAGTCACATTTGTGTTTTGGAAGCCACATCATACTGTTTGTTGGGTCCCTTTTGGTCTTTTACGTGTGGGATATGTTTCAGCCTGATGTCACATATCACATATTTCTAGAATAGATAGATGTTTCTTTAAAATTGAAGCATAGGACTTTACATTGATCTCTACTGAATTTTATCTTTTAAAACATGAGTTCATTGACATATTCTTTATGTAGTTATTTTCCCCCATTCCTTTGGTGCCAGGATTCTGGTCCTATTATGAGATTGATTTTTTTCTAGATCCATTTTTTCCTTTTAGGGTTTCTGGCCTTGGAATTCAATTTAACATTTGTTTGAGATGTTTGAAAAATCACCCAGTTAAGTGGATTCCTATAATATAGTAATAAAAGTGGAACTTAGTTACTGGTTAGTTAGCAGAGATTCCTGAATGATGATCCTATATGATCTCTCTCTTTTTTTTCTTTTCCATTATGGTTTATCACAGGATATTGAATATAGTTCCCTGTGCTATACAGTAGGACCTTGTTGTTTATCCATCCTCTATATAATAGTTTGTATTTGCTAACCCCAAACTCCCAATCCATCCCTGCCTCCCCCTCCATCCCCCTTGGCAACCACAAGTCTGTCTATATGATCTCTCTTGAATCCAATATCATAGATTACTAATAGTCTAGTTTGTAGTATTTTGTCCCATGGATGAGGGACTATATAAATCTATTTCTAATCTATAGTAGCTGTGATGTCCTGTACATTTAATACATTGTGCCTTTGAATTGTAATTTGAAATGTGAGAAACAGGGATGATTCCCTAACAAGCTTTGTCTAGCCACATCATCTCCTGCCATTTTAACCTTTTAGAGGTGGTAAAAAAAGAAGGGAATGTTGAAAATATAAAATAAGGGAAGAAGAAAAGAGGTAGTGAAAAGGAAGCACAGAAACTAGATTAAATCTAGAATACTCTGTGTCCTGTTTACCAATCCCACCTCATGCACTATGTAAAATCAGGTCTATACTTCTGTTGTCCTTGTCATGTATTAACGAAATCTTTTTTTTAAATAGGTGATATGTGGGGGAGATTTTGGACAAATCTGTACCCTTTGACAGTCCCCTTTGGAGAGAGACCGAGCATAGATGTTACCAAAGAAATGCAGAACCAGGTAGGAAGAAGACACCTTGAAAACCAAATCTAAATCCTCAACCTCATTTCTTTTTATGCCATCCTTCTCTTCTTGTCTTATGAAAACATGTAAATGAGAAAATGTTCAAGCTAATTTAAATTTATTTCTTATGTAGCTGTCTTTTCATGGAAAAGTAGTTTACAGTGTCAGTGACATCAAGTACCTTCAATAAGTATGGTATTGATCTTGCTGAGAGATATTAAAAGTAGAGATGACCTGAGTTTTCCATTAAGCAATAAGATGTGGAATTATCAACTGGTTGCCATAACTCTTTCTAAAGTTAGTCATTGCGACGGACCTAGAGTCTGTTATACAGAGTGAAGTAAGTCAGAAAGAGAAAAACAAATACGGTAAGCTAACACATATATATGGAATCTAAAAAAAAAAAAATGGTTCTGAGGAACCTAGAGGCAGGACAGGGATAAAGACGCAGACGTAGAGAATGGGCTTGCAGACATGGGGAGGGGGAAGGGTAAGCTGGGATGAAGTGAGAGAGAGGCATGGACATATATACACTACCAAATGTAAAATAGATAGCTAGTGGGAAGCAGCCGCATAGCACAGGGAGATCAGCTCGGTGCTTTGTGTCCACCTAGAGCGGTGGGATAGGGAGGGTGGGAGGGAGGGAGACAAGAGGGAGGGGATATGGGGATATATGTATATGTATAGCTGATTCACTTTGTTATACAGCAGAAACGAATTCAACATTGTAAAGCAATTATACTCCAATAAAGATGTTAAAAAAATATAAAGTTAGTCATTGCTAAGTAGTCAGTAATCTCTGTGAATAGTAAAAAAAGGATATCATTAGAAGATTTTTGCATATTAAAAATCATTATTGTTAAACATATTACAAGAGTCTAAAATAGTTTTTAAATAAACTTCTTTTACCATCTTGGTATAATTGTTTAAATTCTCTATGTTCCCTTCCATTGATTAAATAATATTATAGTTATAATTGTGTATTTTTCTTTATTCAGCTAATAGCCTACATTTCTGGGTAGGAGCCGTAATCATACATCTACTGGCCGTGTAAAATTTCTTCAGATGGTTGCACCATGGTTTGCTATTTATGCACTGCTTGTTAACAGTTTTAAATCTGTAAGCAGCAATGCAATGAACATCTTCACCTACGTAACATACTCCTGGGAAAAGTCCATAGCAGAATGAAAACGTGAAGCTGCAAGGGCCCCTAAACTCCTGCAGCCGTTGTAGCCCCACTTTGCAGTTGAGCAGCAGCAGAGGCCCATCTTTATGTAGCTCCATAGCCTATCTACGGTGTCTTCACACCCACCATCTCTCCTAATGTTACGTTTACGACAAACCTATGGGACTGCCAGGACAGGTATTGTGATAGTTCCATGTTGTAGGTGAGGAAACTGAGGCTTGGGTAATTGATTTGTTCAAAGTCACAAAGACAGTCAGTGACAACTAAGGTTGGAACTGAGAACTCCTAATATTTCCAGCCTGGTTTTCTATCCATTCATTCTTCATTCAGCAGATGTTAATTGTGCTTGCCCGTCTACGCTGTTTTAGTATATGTTCATTCTCCTTAAGAATGCCATACTCACCAATAGCAATATTGACTGACATTAAGCCTTTAAAGGTCAAAGAAAATATCCATAGTGTCTGTTATATCCAGTTGCATATCCCCAAGGCTGACATAGGAGAAAAAACAAACTTGACTGGTCTTTAAGATGAAAGGAAGTTTTCTGTGTCACTAAAACGTGATTCATTAAATATCTGCCAATTATACAAACTTAGTTTGACTGATATGGGCCTTATGTCCAAAGAAGTCTTGGTCAGCTCCAGAGACACTGGTTCCCAGAAGAGTTTGCTGAATCGCAGACACCTTCTGCTGCCCCTCTCCAGTTCCAGAACATTCTGAAAGTTTAGATTCCCATACAGACTATGAAGCCAAGGCCCCCCCTACCCATCGGCTGCTGGGTCACATGTGGCCCTTTTTGGTTCCAAAATCACGCAACTTCACGTCTGCTTTATTGTTTGTGTCTTCTAATGAGCCTAATGCCAGGGCCTTGCCCATCGAAGGAGATCAATCAAGTGATGTTGTCTTGAGTTGAACAGTTTTTAGCAAAGAGAAGGTCATTATCGTTTGTGTTTATACTTGGAACATAAAGAATAAAGACAAAAGACTTCACACATGTTCTCACCCCGTCTACTGTTAACATTTTAATGTATTTTCTCATTAAGATTATACCATATAAGTGGTTTATATATTTTACTTTTTCACTATTAAATTATTAAAAATATCAATAAAAATTCTTTATAAACCTAATTTATTTAGATTTTCCATTCCACAAAGGCATCATTATTCATTTAACCATTCTGGTGGTTGTTTCCACTTTTCCTCTATTAAAAATCATTTTAGGGCTTCCCTGGTGGCGCAGTGGTTGAGAGTCCACCTGCCGATGCAGGGGACACGGGTTCGTGCCCCAGTCCGGGAAGATCCCACATGCCGCGAAGCGGCTGGGCCCGAGCCATGGCCGCTGAGCCTGCGCGTCCAGAGCCTGTGCTCCGCAACGCGAGAGGCCACAACAGTGAGAGGCCTGCGTACTGCAAAAAAAAAAAAGAAAATCATTTTACACGTTGTACACCTTAAACTTACACAATATATCAAATTATTTCAATTGAAAATTAATAATAAAAATCATTTTAAACATAATTCTTCGACCTAATTTCTGAGAATTTCCTAGGTTAGTTCCCTAGAGACAGGATTACTGAGACAAAGAGTATAAACACTGTGAAAGCTGTCCAAACATGTTGCCAAATTGCCTTCCAGAACAGTTATGCCTTTGTACACATCCAACAGAAAGAATGCCGTGATTTTAATGGTAGAATTAAATGCTGGGTTTTGTTTTGTTTTGTTTTCTTCCAGTCCTGGGATGCAAAGAGGATATTCAAGGAGGCTGAGAAGTTCTTTGTGTCTATTGGCCTTCCTAATATGACTCAAGGATTCTGGGATAACTCCATGCTAACTGAGCCAGGCGATGGCCGGAAAGTGGTCTGCCACCCCACAGCATGGGACCTGGGGAAGGGTGACTTCAGGTAGTGAGGCTGATGTGTACACAGCTGATACTAAAATGGGAGACAATGGAGGGATGAGGATGAATTTGGATTCCTTCTCTGCTTCTCTGAGCACAGAAGAGATGAATGAATTCTCCTTGAACGAAGGCTGGGAGTCCATGAGAGCACATCTGGGCTTTCCAAGGAAAAGGGGATTGTCAGCAGGCCCTAACTTGAACCTTTAGACAGTTTGCTTCATCTGAGATGATATGCACCCATTAGAGTTGCATGGTCATGGGTATGGTGGTGACCCCATTAGGAAAGGTTTGGTGCAAGATTTACGGAAGATGGATATGTGAGTCAGGCATTGATCCCCACCTCCGTTTCCCTCTTCTGAGTGAGCTAGGACAGGTGAATAGATAAGCTGGTATGTGTCATTAAGAGAAACACAGAGAACACTCCATGGGAATTGGAAGATAAGTGACCACACCTGGAATAGGGGTTTGGCTCGGACAGGGCTCTTCAGGTGGCATTTGAGTTGGGCTTGGAAGACAAGAAGGGTTTGGACAGACAGAGCTGGGAGGGACACAGGGCTGGGAGAATAGCAGTATCAGATGCAGAGAGGCAGGACCAGTGTTGTGTACTGGAGTCAGCAGGTTAGGCTAGAATAAAGGGCGTGTGAAGGAGGGTCTGTGTGAAATGGCAGAATGAGCACAGGCTTTCTAACCCCAGCTGTGTCACTTAATGAATAGGCAACCTTGGGCAAGGTATTTAACCTTCTTGGGTTTCAGTTTCTTTATCTATAAAGTGGAATCGTAATTCCCAGTTGGCAGGTTTGTGTCTTAGGTTGGGTTCCCTGGCTTGAGATGGAGATTCTTGTACACGTGTTTCACCGAGGGAGAGCTTGCAGGCAAAGGGGAGTGAGGGAAGCAGGATGGGGCAGGGGAAAGAGTTAAGTAAGGAGGTGGTCTCTGCTAGAGACTTGGCCTCAGCCTGATCCCACGGGGCTCTCTGGAGCATGATTTGTACCACAGAGTTGGTCACATCTTGAGACAAGAGGACTGGCCCTTTGTACCCCATATTACTCAGTCATTGGCTGTGGACTGCCCCAGAGTATGGGGCCACATAACCTCCTGGTTGAGGCACCTCCCATTTAGCCAAAAACATTAAAGAAGGAAGCAGCTGTTGGCCAACAGCCAGGACTCAGACACCTGGGAGATGGGTGGATCTTTCTGGTAAAGCAGATCTAGGCAGGGCCCCAGCCGCATGCGCTAGAGTAGGGGTTGGCAATCCTTTCCTATAAAAGGTCAGATAGTAAATAGTTTCTTTAGGCTTTGCAGGTCTCTGTTGCAACTACTCATCTCTGCCCTTGTGGCATGAAAGCAGCCATAGATAATACAGAAACAAATGGTTAGGGCTGTGTCCCAGTAAAGCCTGATCTATCACAGCAGGTAGCCAGCTGCAGGCCATAGCTCACCGACTCCAGTACTAGGGTGAAGCTGAAAAATGAGTAAGTGTATGTGAGCTTCCTAGCACAGGATCTTACACACAGTAGATAGTAACTATATAATAGCTATTCTTATAATTGTGCCAAGAGAGTATAGAGAAAAACCAAGTTAGAGAAGGAGGTCATATTGGGGTGTATAAAGGAGGTTGAGTTTATTCCTGAGCAGCGGGGGTCCTTAAAGGGTATTTGTCAGGGGGATGACGTGGTGCTCAGAGTGGTGGGAAGACGACTGAACCTACTGAAATATGACCCCTACACTCATCTGCATGAAATTGCTCTTGCCAAGTTGAAAAGGACCGGCACCTAATTGCCAGATGCCATCCTCATACCATTGGGCCACAACAGCATGGGGCCGTGTTGAGGAGTTGTCTTTGAAGTGCTCTTGTTCACTGATGTCTGCATCGTCATGCCTTCTGGACTTCTTTGACTTCTCTCTCTGTCTCCTTTTCCTCTCTCCACCCTGTACATCCTGGGACCTCCTGGGGCTTTGTCCTTGACCCTCTTTTCTTGCCATCCTACACAGCTTCATGGGCCATCACATCCACTCCCTGACTTACATGCTAATGATTCCCAAATATCAATTTCTAGCCCTTTCTCCTACTACTACTATGTCCTGGCTGTACCAGACTGCTGGCTGTGTCCTGAATGCCACATTCTTTTCTCAAGCCATCCTCACTGAGCGCTTCTAGGAATGTCAGTCTCTTGTCCCTCCCTGCCATTTGCCTGGCAAAGCCCTGCATGTTGATCAAGGTCCAGCTTGCTCATTGCATCCTGAGTTATGCCCTTCCTGGGGGCTTCCAGAAGACTATGCCTCCATATACTCATTGTTGTGCCCAAGGCCATGTCTACTGATCACTTGTAGAGTACTTGCCTCAGAGTTTCTGTAGTAGACGACTCTGTTTATCTTCCTTTCTGTTAGTCTGTGATCAGGAGGACAAGATTCAGCCCTGCCCATCACTTTATATTGAGCACCTAGTACAGTTTCTAGGACGTACAAGATAGGTCCTCAAGAATCATTGGTGAATGCTATGGAAATCCCATATAACTCCATTGTGATGATTAAATGAAATTCAATGAGATTCATTTTAATCTTGCCCATTTTTGTTCAGGATCAAAATGTGCACAAAGGTGACGATGGATGACTTCCTGACAGCCCATCACGAGATGGGGCACATCCAGTATGACATGGCGTATGCCACACAGCCCTACCTGTTCAGAAATGGAGCTAATGAAGGTTTCCATGAAGCTGTTGGGGAAATCATGTCACTTTCTGCAGCTACACCTCACTATCTGAAAGCCCTTGGTCTTCTGCCCCCTGATTTTTATGAAGACAGTGGTATGGACATGTTTTCATGGCCTGTTTTGGGTATTCTTTAGTCTGACATGGGCAAAGGTATTTATTGTCATGCATAGGATATATTTAATTTTTGCCATGTAAAATATAAGTTATTTATGGGTAACTGGAAATTGCTACTGGTTAAAAAAAATTTTAAGTATATAGTATAATATGCCAGCTTCTGGTTTTGTATCTTTGAAAAGGGCATAAGAGAGGTAACTAAGTTGAATGGTCTTGGGACTCTAAGAACCATCTAACAGAAGCTTTTTAAAAGGATGCTAAAACAGGCCCACAGAACTGAAATGGCTTATCCAAGGTTACCCAGCTAATTAGTGTCAGAGTTCTGACTGAATCCCCTGGTTCTAGGCAGAAACCAAAACAGTGGAGCTGGAACAGATTCTAACAACCATTTTGCAGAGGAAGCAAACTGAAGACATGAGAGGGAAAATAATTAACCCAAGGTCAAGAAGCAACATGGCAGAACCGGAAGCAGAGCCCTAATCTATAACTTTTCCCATAATATTATGCAAAGCAAAGTGTAACTTGAAATTTGGGAGTTCTTAAGGAACAGGTGGTGGAATATCAAGATTGGAGGAGACTGAAACGTTTTGTTCATGTGGCTGAAGCATGAATTTGCCCCGTAACATCCCCTCAGATTCCGGCCATCCTTCAGCATCTTTGCCCGAGGCAGCCTGTTTCTCTTTGGATGGGTTGGACTTGATGGAACACAACAGATATTCACGAGATCCAGATTTTTCTGTGAGGATTTTTTCTTGTAAAAGGAGGACACTTAGGGCCAAATATGTTCTTCTTTCCTATGTATTTCTCTCCCCTCATTTTAGCAATTTGGGACATAAACTTCAGCTCTGCCTACTAGTACATTCAGTCGATGAGGTCCAGGTCATGAGCTCCATCCTTGTGTGGGCAATTCGCTTTGCCTCGACTTCTGGCTCCAGACCTTGATGATCTCACAAGGACCTGGGAGTAGGTCAGTGTAAAGCCATCATCATGTCTGAAAAATTTACTGTGAGCACAGACCCAGTGGGTAATAGACAAGTAGCAGCATCCTCCCATGAAGGGAGCAACAGAGGAAAGGGGGTTCGCAGTAACCACACCTGTTTCCTAATTTTAAATTATCATTCTCAAGTCAATTAACAGACCATTATTAGTTTTATCATTTTTTAATATTCCTTGACAGCAGTCAAAGATGGTTGAATCACTAAGACAGTACTAGGCATGGTTAAACCACTGATTTGAAAAACTCCTGCTTCTTTCCTTGGCTCTGGCGCTGATCTGTGAATGATGCTAAACAAAATAAGGTCCTTCATTCCTTCTCTCTCTCTCTCTCTCTCTCTCTCCTTCTCCCTCTCTTCCTTTCTTCTTCCAAAAATATTTATTGAGCACTTACTATGTGTAAAGCATTTTAAAAGACACTAAATACATTGGTGTGCCAAGTGGATAATATCCCTCTGCTTACATTCCAGTGAGCTTCATTTATGCACTAGATATGAGCTCCACTGCCTTTTTACATCACTAATAAAAGATAAATGAAATAACATAATTTGTTAAAGCATTTTAAACTCAGGTAAGGAAGATGTCAGTGAATTTAAAGTACATTGGACTTCTGATCATCCAGTGGATGGTTTCCTGTAGGGAGGCTCGTTTTTGTTGTTTTTCCCTTCCCTGGTTTACTATTTGTTTATTTAGCAAAGACTCACAGAGGACATCACGTAGCAGACACCAGGCTAGGTATACAGTCTCGAATGAGAATTGACAGTCACTTCCTTCACGGAGCTTGCAACAATAAACAGTGTGGGGCTTCCCTGGTGGCACAGTGGTTGGGAATCCGCCTGCCAGTGCAGGGGACATGGGTTCGAGCCCTGGTCCGGGAGGGTCCCACATGCCGCAGAGCAACGAGGCCCATGTGCCACAACTACTGAGCCTGCGCTCTAGAGCCCGTGCTCCACGGCAAAGAGAAGCCACCGCGATGAGAAGCCCGCGCACCGCAATGAAGAGTAGCCCCCGCTCGCTGCAACTAGAGAAAGCCCGCGTGCAGCAAAGAAGAGCCAACGCAGCCAAAAATAAATAAATACATAAATAAACCGAAAAAGATAAACAGTATGCCTAGGAAAGTAGATAAAATACCCCTAATTAGCTCTGATAAGAAGTACTTAAGGAAGGCAACGGAAACTAATAAAGAAAAAGGATTAGGGGTTCCTTGCAGATTTATTAACCTGATCTATCCAAGGCTTCACCCTACTCCGAATCCCTCAGCTGAGAAAACGAATATATACATATTATTATGTCCACTGTCAATATTTCTCATGTGATCATCCTTACAGTAAGTATATCTTGAGGAATAATATCTTGAGGTTAGGAAATTATCTAATACAAAACATCCGCTGTCACCCTCATCTTAATGTTTATCCTTTCCCATTTTATTTTCAGCAACAGAAATAAACTTCCTGCTCAAACAAGCACTTACTATTGTTGGAACTCTACCGTTTACCTACATGTTAGAAAAGTGGAGGTGGATGGTCTTTAAGGGTGAAATACCCAAAGAGCAGTGGATGCAAAAGTGGTGGGAGATGAAGTAAGTCAATGAATATGCAATCAGTAAAATGTTTCCTCATGAGTTTGCTGTTTATTTAAAAGCATTTGGTTGGCCTGTGTCCACACACTCACATACACACACAGACATCATATACTTAGTACCAGTATCTGTATTTTATTGCCTGAGGGCTTCCTCTGGTCACTAGGACCCTCCTATGGAGAAAAGACTGAGGAACTATGTGTGATGGGAATTGGTGGATAAGTACTTCAGCTCCCTCGCCCTCAGCGGGGAGAATTCTGAGGTGAGTGCTCTACGTGGGATCCTAGAGCTCCTCAGTGGGAATAGGCTCCAGTTACCCACTGTGGTGACTTGCTTGGTAACACACCTTTTGGGGGCTGCTTTCCTTTTCCTGTCTCACTTCCTCACTCCTTTGCCTGTGTTTCCTGGGATCACGTCCCAGGGCCTGGTCTCAGGGTCTGTTTGGGTGAGAACCCACCTAAGACAACTAGCACTGGAGTTCTCAGAGAATTCTTCCTAGTCAGAATAACTGGGATTTCAGTGGCTAAATCTTGAAATCTAGTGATGTGGGGCGAAGTATGTGAAAATGAGAGAGAAGTGTATTCAGGCTAGGGAAATGCCATCACATACCACACACACACACACACACACACACACACACACACACACACACCCCACATTAACTGCCTCCTTTTTATTTTTTAAGTCTCCATTTGGAAGCTTTCTCAGATAATGTTTCCTTGGCTCTGCCCCACCCCCCAGCAGGGTCAAGTGACATAATTTCTCATGCTCTATCTTAAGTATTGAGGCACCCATTAAACTGTGATATTATTTCGGAAGTGATCAATTTATTCATTTTTATTTTTGCTTTTGTCCATTCTTTGAAACAAAAATATTTACCCCACATTTTAGGTAAAGCACTGGGGAATCCGATGCTGATCATTTCTGATGTTCTCCTCGACTTCAAAGAACTTGTAGTCTATGGAGGAATGCAGGAAATGAAACCACTGCAACGTGTTGGGTTGTGATGGGAGAATGTGGGCATCCATGAGCGTCCAAGGGGGGATCCCAAACCCTGGCTGATAGGTCAGATGAGGAGAGGCATCCAAACAGCTTTGAGAAAGATGTGGGATTTAACCAGGGGTATGTAGAGGGGAAGGGAGAGAATTCCAAGCTAGTGAGAGCCTGCTGCATTTGGGCAACAGAGGGCGATTCCTTTCAATAGTTTCAGCGCTACCTCATTCATCACCGTATCCCAAGTGCCTTGCACAGTGCCTGGCACATGCAAGTATGAAATAAATGATGAAAGTATTACAGAAGAAGATGGAAGGAAGGAAGTTAGGAAAGAAAGAATGAATGAATGAACGAATGAAGGAAGGAAAAAAAGAAAGAAAGCTTCTCCTTACCATCTATTAGTCAGACTCCTGTCAATTATTTTTGTTTATTTTTCCTCTGTGGTGAAGATCTACCATTGTAACATTCAGCCCCATATCCGTAAGTTGAAGTCAGTGCCACTCTTCTGCCAAGATTCTCTCTGGTGACATAAACCCTCCTTGGGAGGGAGGAGGCAGCATCTGTAGTAGCTGTTGCTAGCATTTGAGTATTACTGAAATTATGTCTATCATGATCCCACAGTGAGAAAGGACGGATGTATTCACTTTAAACAATGCCAAACACATGGTTTTCCTACCTTTTTTTTTCTGATCAAATTAATTTTTGATCCCTTTTAGTTTATTTCCAAAGGTACATGGAATCAGACCCTTAAAATGATTCATTAATGCATTAATTACTCTATGCATTCAGTGAATCCACGTGAAGTCTTTTCTTAGCATTGCCATCGTGTCTGACACTGGAACTGTAAAGATGACCAAAACACAGCCCCGCCTGCTAGGGCAAGTCTCCAGGGCAAGAAGGAGCTGTATGTGAATAATTATAAAACGGAGAGAGAAATGGCAAAGGAGGCAGAGCTAGAGAAGGCCAAGGGAGCTGGAGGGTTCACTGTGCTGGCAGGTGGTTGGGATCAGGGGCAGGCCTCACAGAGGAGGGGACATTTGAGCTAGCCTTGAAGAATCAGTGAGATTTCAATTTTAGAAAATTCCGCCTACGAGGAGCCCATAATATGTAGTGCCGGAGAGGAATTATTAGGACTTTCACTGTATGTTTTTGGCCACGCAATGCACTTTAGTAAATTAGTATTTTGAAGGTACAGCTATTTTCCAATGCTGTAGACTGGCTGAATCTAAAAAATAAAGAGATGACTACACGATGCACTTTATTCTGTAATTCTTTACACTGTTTCAATTTCACCTGACAACTAATTTCAGTAGAAACGCCATTGGCTGATGACACTGCACTAATGACACCATCCACACTTTCTCACGATGAGTGACCCAGAGCTAACGTATCTTCTTTTTTCCCCAAAGGCGAGAGATAGTCGGGGTGGTGGAGCCTCTGCCCCATGATGAAACATACTGTGACCCCGCGTGTCTGTTCCATGTTGCTGAAGATTACTCATTCATCCGGTAAATGACAGTTTTCTTCTATTTCACTTCTAGGATTTGTGGACAGAGTGACAACTTTAATTTCTTTTTCTATCTCCATTCACCTCCCCCTTAGATCCTCAAAATAGATGATCAGTTTCAATTCGATTTAACTCAACATGATGTATTGAGTTAAATAAAACTTACATGAGATCTTTTCTCCCACCATCAGGGAATTTATAGTATCCTTGGGAGAAATAGAAATATATTTTTGTTTGTCTTCTTGTTACTGACAGAGTGCAGGATGATTGTAATAGAGTATTTTTATTTATTTATTTATTTATTTTGAGTGACTAATATGGTTTTTTTTTAATTTTTGAATTTTATTTTATTTTTTTATACAGCAGGTTCTTATTAGTCACCCATTTTATACACATCAATTTTGTTTATCTTCTCAAAGAACCAGCTTTTAGTTTTATTGATCTTTGCTATTGTTTTCTTTGTTTCTATTTCATTTATTTCTGCTCTGATCTTTATGATTTCTTTCCCTCTGCTAACTTTGGGGGGTTTTGGTTCTTCTTTCTCTAATTGCTTTAGGTGTAAGGTTAGGTTGTTTATTTGAGATTTTCTTGTTTCTTGAGGTAGGCTTGTATAGCTATAAACTTCCTTCTTAGAACTGCTTTTGCTGCATCCCATAGGTTTTGGGTCGTTGTGTTTTCATCGTCATTTGTCTCTAGGTATTTTTTGATTTCTTCTTTGATTTCTTCAGTGATCTCTTGGTTATTTAGTAACGTATTGTTTAGCCTCCATGTGTTTGTGTTTTTTACGTTTTTTTCCCTTTAATTCATTTCTAATCTCATAGCATTGTGGTCAGAAAAGATGCTTGATATGATTTCAATTTTCTTAAATTTACTGAGGCTTGATTTGTGACCCAAGATGTGATCTATCATGGAGAATGTTCCGTGCACACGAGAAGAAAGTGTAATCTGCTGTTTTTGGATGGAATGTCCTATAAATATCAATTAAATCTATCTGGTCTATTGTGTTATTTAAAGCTTGTGTTTCCTTATTTATTTTCATCTTGGATGATCTGTCCATTGGTGTAAGTGAGGTATTAAAGTCCCCCACTATTATTGCGTTACTGTCGATTTCCTCTTTTATAGCTGTTAACAGTTGCCTTATGTATTGAGGTGCTCCTATGTTGGGTGCATATATACTTATAATTGTTATATCTTCTTCTTGGATTGATCCCTTGATCATCAATGTAGTGTCCTTCCTTGTGTCTTGTAACATTCTTTATTTTAAAGTCTATTTTATCTGATATGAGTATTGCTACTCCAGCTTTCTTTTGATTTCCATTTGCATGGAATATCTTTTTCCATCCCCTCACTTTCAGTCTGAATGTGTCCCTAGGTCTGAAGTCGGTCTCTTGTAGACAGCATATATATGGGTCTTGTTTTTGTATCCATTCAGCAAGCCTGTGTCTTTTGGTTGGAGCATTTAATCCATTCACATTTAAGGTAATTATCGACATGTATGTTCCTATGACCATTTTCTTAACTGTTTTGGGTTTGCTTTTGTAGGTCCTTTTCTTCTCCTGTGTTTCCCACTTAGAGAAGTTCCTTTAGCATTTGTTGTAGAGCTGGTTTGGTGGTGCTGAATTCTCTTAGCTTTTGCTTGTCTGTAAAGCTTTTGATTTCTCCATCAAATCTGAATCAGATCATTGCCAAGTAGAATAATCTTAGTTGTAGGTTCTTCCCTTTCATCACTTTAAATATATTATGCCACTCCCTTCTGGCTTGTAGAATTTCTGTTGAGAAATCAGCTGTTAAACTTATGGGATTTCCCTTGTCAAGGGAAAAACGTATGTCATTTTTCCCTTGTTGCTTTTAATAATTTTTGTTTGTCTTTAATTTTTGTCAATTTTGATTACTATTGTCTCGGCATGTTTCTCCTTGGGTTTATCCTGCCTGGGACTCTCTGCTCTTCCTGGACTTGGGTGGCTATTTCCTTTCCCATGTTAGGGAAGTTTTCAACTATAATCTCTTCAAATATTTTTTCGGGTCCTTTCTCTCTCTCTTCTCCTTCTGGGACCTCTATAATGCAAGTGTTGTTGCGTTTAATGTTGTCCCAGAGGTCTCTTAGGCTGTCTTCATTTCTTTTCATTCTTTTTTCTTTATTCTGTTCTGCGGCAGTGAATTCCACCATTCTGTCTTCCAGGTCACTTATCTGTTCTCCTGCCTCAGTTATTCTGCTGTTGATTCCTTCTAGTGTAGTTTTCATTTCAGTTATTGTATTGTTCATCTCTGTTTGTTTGTTCTTTAATTCTTCTAGGTCTTTGTTAAACATTTTTTGCATCTTCTGGATCTTTGCCTCCATTCTTTTTCCGAGGTCCTGGATCATCTTCACTATCATTATTCTGAATTCTTTTTCTGGAAGGTTTCCTATCTCCACTTCATTTAGTTGTTTTTCTGGGGTTTTATCTTGTTCCTTCATCTGGTACATAGCCCTCTGCCTTTTCATCTTGTCTGTCTTTCCGTGAATGTGGTTTTTGTTCCACAGGCTGCAGGATTGTCGTTCTTCTTGCTTCTGCTGTCTGCCCTCTGGTGGATGAGGCTATCTAAGAGGCTTGTGCAGGTTTCCTGATGGGAGGGACTGGTGGTGGGTAGAGCTGACTGTTGCTCTGGTGGGCAGAGCTCAGTAAAACTTTAATCCTCTTGACTGCTGATGGGTGGGGCTGGGTTCCTGTTGGTGGTTTGGCCTGAGGCGACCCAACACTGGAGCCTACCCGGGCTCTTTGGTGGGGCTAATGGCGGCCTCTGGGAGGACTTACGCCAAGCAGTACTTCCCAGAACTTCTGCTGCCAGGGTCCTTGTCCTCACGCTGAGCCACAGCCACCCCCTGCCTCTGCAGGAGACCCTCCAACACTAGCAGGTAGGTCTGGTTCAGTCTCCTGTGGGGTCACTGCTCCTTCCCCTGGGTCCTGATGTGCACACTACGTTGTGTGTGCCCTCCAAGAGTGGAGTCTCTGTTTCCCCCAGTCCTGTCAAAATCCCGCTAGCCTTCAAAGTCTGATTCTCTAGGAATTCCTCCTCCCGTTACCAGGGCCCCAGGTTGGGAAGACTGATGTGTGGCTCAGAACCTTCACTCCAGTGGATGGACTTCTGTGGTATAAGTGTTCTCCAGTTTGTGAGTCACCGACTCAGCAGTTACAGGATTTGATTTTATTGTGATAGCGCCCCTCCTACTGTCTCATTATGGCTTCTCCTTTGTCTTCGGATGTGGGGTATCTTTTCTGGTGAGTTCCAGTGTCTTCCTGTCGATGATTGTTCAGCAGTTAGTTGTGATTCTGGTGCTCTCGCAAGAGGGAGTGAGCACACGTCCTTCTACTCTGCCATCTTGAACTGGCAGGCCAACTAATATCTGTAATAGAGCATTTTTAACTTGAAGCCCTAAGACCTATGTTCTTCCCCTCTTAGCTCCAGATCTTGAATTTGTTGAGTCTCAGTTTCTTTCTTTCTTTTTTATTTACTTATTTGGTTGCTCTGGGTCTTAGTTGTGGCATGTGGGTTCTTTAGTTGTGGCATGTGGGATCTTTAGTTACGGCATGTGAACTCTTAGTTGCGGCATGTGGGATCTAGTTCCCTGGCCAGGGATTGAACCTGAGCCCCGTGCATTGGGAGCACAGACCCTTAGCCACTGGACCACCAGCTAAGCCCTGAGCCTCAGTTTCTTTATTTGTAAAGTGGAAATAATATTGTTGATCTGCCATAAGTATCGATTGGCATCATTTATGTGAAAGGGCTATAAATCTGTAAAACACAATACAAATGTGAGCTAACATTTAACAAAATAATACTGCCTTTTTGTCAGCTGATACATGAATGCAAGTATGATGAGTCTGTAGGGTTCATGTTTGGGTCTTTCTGGAGGGAAAAGAGGTTTAACTGGTACTTCTTTGGTGACTAGGGCTTCAACATTTAAATACATGCCCCAATCTTTGATTCTAGCACAGAAACTAAACACAGGACAACTTCTTTTCTTTATCTCTTTTACAGATATTACACAAGGACCATTTATCAATTCCAGTTTCATGAAGCCCTTTGTCAAACAGCTAAACATGAAGGTCCCCTGTACAAATGTGATATCTCGAATTCCACCGAAGCTGGGCAGAGGCTGCTGTAAGAGATACTTCAAAATATTGACCCTCTCATTCCTGTTTAATGTTACTCATTTCCACGCCTAGGTTTGATTTCTTTGCTCTAAAAAGAAAATTGGGGGCCTCAAAATGTTCTCATCCACAAATTAAATGTTTGTTTCGTGGTCACACAGGAACCTGGACCATGTGATGGCTGGACAGGCCACCTCCTCTCTCCATGTCATAACTACAGAGCTCTTTTTGTAGTAACTGGAGGGGAAGAGAGATTGAAGGATGAATACATCTGTTAACATGGCTTCTTTTCTTATTTGCCAGGAGCAAACTTAGTCAAGCCAAAGAGGAGAAAGTATAGATTGTACATGTAAGTAGATGTACATCTGGAATCCCTCAAAAGGCTCTGAACCCACCCTCCCCTTTTTTCTTGTAGCCAAATGCTGCACCTTGGAAAATCAGAACCCTGGACCTCAGCATTGGAACGTATTGTGGGAGTAAAGACTATGGACGTAAAACCACTGCTCAACTACTTTGAGCCGTTGTTGACCTGGCTGAAAGAGCAGAACAGGAATTCATTTGTGGGATGGAGAACAGACTGGACTCCATGTGAGTACATTGAGTTGACACATTGCTAACTGCCCACTTTCTGCTTCCCCTAGTCCTCTCTGGCTCCAGTCTCATGGGACTGTGACACAGCTGAATATGTTCTCCCTCTACTTAGCCCCTGTACTACGGTGGTAGCTGCCATTTTATCTGGGAGGAAACACATTTGTTGAGCAGCTACTATGTACCTGGCACAGTGAAAACTACCTCTCTCTCTCTTTTTCAAGTCTGCTTTACTAGCCCCATATTTAAAAGAGTCTAACGGTCTCCAACCCACTGTATTCGAATCCGGCTCGTCAAAGACAAATACTTTTAACAATTTTAATGCTATTGCCTCTCCTTTCTGGCAGTTACTTTCATATTTTTAAACAATTTGTTTATATTGTCATTCCCCTGTCACTCACTTTTAGGCATGCACTTCTGCCTACTCTTCTGCCTCCTTTTCTCATTCTCCCAATTAGGTTTAACATAATTTTTCATAGAGAAATTATCAATATTTGCATCATTTTGCTTGCAGAACCAAGTAATATACTATTTTATATCCTTTCTTATGTGGTTTTTTGTTTGTCCTGGAGTTTCTATTGCCTCATTTTTTTTGTATGCCTAATTTGCTATGTACGTCACATTCATCTTTTTCAACTATTCCAACATATCTATTCTTTTCAGTCTCATTTTTTCCTAAAGAACTCCCACTTAGAGTCCTCCTGTCTCAATGTGGACCACAGTTTTCATCCTGAGTCATCCCTTTGCTGCTGTCCTGGGTTGAATCCACTGCTTCCTGGATGCCATATCTTCTTTCGTGAATTACCTCTTGTTTTGCTGCACAGCCTCCAAGTGACTTTCTAAGCAAGAGCTCATGGGGTAGGAACACCAACTGTTCCCCGAAGTGTCTTTAACCAGACCTTGAGTTTCATTCCCCTTGTTTTCCGTCCAGTATCTTTTTCCCACCCGCTACTGTACCTGAATCCCAAGGCTCTCCGGGATTCTGTGGGACTTTGGGGGTCTGTGCTGCCTCTGTGTACACATTAGGGCATGGCTTCCTGACCCTTGCAAAAGCACTTACCACTCCTCCATAACTTCTCATTTTCCAAAATTGTGTTGATACCTTAAAAAATTCCTTTACTATCACTTTAGTGGGATCTTGGGAGAGGAAGGAAATAAACACACATGGTCAATCTGTCATCTGTAACAACAGTCTGTTATTTCTCTTTAATCAGATTCTAACCAAAGCATCAAAGTGAGGATAAGCCTCAAATCAGCTCTTGGAGAAAAAGCTGTGAGTATTCTACACAGTGCGTCTATGACTTTCAATGTGTTCCCTTAAATAGGGCACAACAAGCCCATTCCAGTGTGGTCTAAAGATGAGAGGACACATGGTTCTCTTAAAAAGCTCTAGATTCTGCCCTTTGGCTTTTGGGTTGTTTGTTTTTTTAGTAACACATTCATTCCCTATTGGATTGGCTATGCCTCCTCTTTCCTTGTGACTTTGAAGGTGTTATGAAGATCAATGAGAAAACATCCAATGTTAAGTATCAAATACCCACCCTCCCAATTCACTCTAATCACCATTACTTGTATTTGAGGAAGAGGACATGGTTATATTTTGAGAGATTTTTGTTCTTAGAAGCACTGTAGGCAGTTTTGCGTTGTTTTGTCTTAGTCAGTCATCTATATCCTGGAAGCTTGTCAATCATCTATCCTGGAAGCTTGTTTTAATCTTAGACCTCAGCCCTGGACCTGCTTAATCGGAATCTGCATTTTAACAAGCCCCCCAGTGGGTCTGTAGACACAATAAAGACTGGGAAGCTCTGATTTAGAACACAGTTTCTCAAACGTAGCTGCACACTGGAGTCATTTGGGATTTTTGAAACATATCAGTGCTTGAATCCCACTCCCAGAGATTCTGACTTAATTGCTCTGTGGTGTGGCATCAAGTCATCAAAGCTCCCCAGGTGACTGATTACGGCACGGTTTGAGAACCACTGATGTAGAGATGCATTTCAGGACAACAGAATGTTTTACAGAAAATCAGATTACTTACACCTTCATGTGAATTACTTTGATCAGCTATTCCTTTCTCCTAAACACCTGTCTCAGGTTATCCAGTTTGAAGCAGTAGTGGCTTTGATTGGGAAAGAGGAGAGGAGAGGGTCGCCCCAGGCAGATGGGGATCAAAGGCGTGGGTGGGCTTGTGGCATCCTGCAGGCTTTGCAGGATTAGAGGGCAGCCTGACACTATTGGGTAAAACAGTCCAGGGTGCTACAGAAAATTGTTCTTTGCACTGGATAGACCCAAAGATGGCATTTCTACCCCCTTACTTTTCCTGGTAAGTTAAATATTGTCCAAGGTTCCACAGTAGTTGTAGTGTAACTTTCATAGATAAGTAAGACGTTTAAACATAAATAACATAGTAGGAGTAAAAAAGGAACGTTTAAGAAAGAAATAATAAAAATGGAAGTGCATCACTTCCCAAACTCTAAAAGTTCAAGTTCCTATTTCTTAACAATCATTGAGTATCTCTGGGATCATTTCTCTTTCTGTCATATTTTTATTAGCTCTTCCTTGGACTAATGAAATTTAATTATTTTAATTTAAAGTATCTGGTAGGTCAGGATCCTTTTCAATTATCTTCTTTTTTCTTGACATGTGTCCCCATGTTCTCTTTCCATGCAGTGAGGGATCGGTAGTCTTCAGAGGGGTTGATGGTGTAACGTTCTGAGGCCTATTCACTGAGCGAGAGGCTGCTTTGATGAGACCAGAACCATACTTTTAGCCAGAATAACTGCCCAGTTCAAGCTATTTCATGGCAAAGTCCACCTGGATCTTTGACACTAATTTGAGAACTTGGCCTTTGCTTTTTTTGAATATAAAAATAGTAACCAGAATATTAGTAATAATATTAATAATATCATTATTACTATTAAAGCAACTTTTTCCAACAGCTGTGTGATATCAAGCTGGGGTCAATGTAGCAACCCTTTGAAATCCTTTTTAAAATTTATTTTATTTATTTTTTAAATTTTTATTGGAGTATAGTTGCTTTACAATGAAATCTCTTCTTTAAACAGCTAAAATTTTAGATTTACTTCTGAAAATGTAATTACATTTTTAAAAATTGAAGTATAGTTGATTTACAATGTGTTAGTTTCAGGTGAACAGCAAAGTGATTCAGTTATACATGTACACATTTTTTTTTCAGATTCTTTTCCCATATAGGTTATTACAAAATATTGAGTAAAGTTCCCTGTGCTATACAGTAGGTCCTTGTTGGTTATCTATTTTATATATAGTAGTGTGTGTATGTTAATCCCAATCTCCTAATTTATCCCTCCCCCACTTCCCCTTTGGTAACCATAAGTTTGTTTTCTACGTCTGTGAGTCTGTTTTTGTTTTGTAGATAAGTTGATTTGTATCATCCTTTTAGATTCCACATATAAGCGATATCATATGATATTTGTCTTTCTCTGTCTGGCTTGCTTCACTTAGTATGATCATCTCGTAATTGTTTTTCCTAGAAGGGGGAGAGATGCAAACTTCGTGCTATTCATGATCTCTACTGCCATCTACTGGAGGAAAGAGTGAACGCTTTTTTCTCTTTCAACAGGTTTTTCCTGGACGATGCAAATACACAAGCCATTGGTTTAGCACTGAAACACAAGAACAAATTACCTTGTTTACAAAAAAAATTTTTTTCCTTTGAACCTCAAGTTTCTTCTTTTTTTTACACTTACACATATCCAAGAATTTACTATAAAAATAGTAAAAACTCAGCATATTTGTTTACAGTATATGGACATTTTAACCAAAACCAATGGCTCACATGACTCCCATCTATAAACCTTCCCTCCGGGTGTTTATTTCAGCTTGCATCAAACTAAATTAAAAGGGCCAGTGAACGCCATGGTTTTTAAAGCGTGGCAGCGGGACCAGCTCCCACCATCTGGGAGCTTGTTAGAGATGCGATTTCTTGGGTCTCCTCCCAGACCTTCTGAATTAGAAACTCTGAGGCCCAGGCCCAGGATTCAGTGGTTTAACAAGCCCTCCAGGTGATGCTGATGCACACTCAAGTTGGAGGTTACTGACGTCACGCAGAGCAAGAATCTTTGGCATATTAGACAATTCAAAAATAAGGCTTGTGGGGAAATCCCTGGCGGTCCAGTGGTTAGGACTTGGCGCTCTCACTGCCAAGGGCGTGGATTCATTCCCTGGTCGGGGAGCTCAGATCCCACAAGATGCACGGTGCGACCAAAAAAAAAAGCTTTTAGAATATCAGGTTTTAATGTACCCCACGATCTCTACTGAGCAATGTTTTTGTTTTGAATTTGCAGTACGAATGGAATGACAGTGAAATGTACTTGTTCCGGTCATCTGTTGCGTACGCCATGAGAGAGTATTTTTCAAAAGTCAGAAACAAGACCATTCCTTTTGGGTGAGTTGATTTGCTGTGCTGTCAATCAGTATTTCCCTTACTCTTGGGTCTAAGAAAATATTATGCTTCAACTTTTATTCAAATGAAATTAAGAAAAACCTCCTAATAACTTTTAAATCTCTTTGATCTCCTGGAATTTGGGCCAGTCTATTTAGGGATGATTGTGACTTATTTGACTCGTAGGTGACAAGAGCACTGTTATTATTAAATGGCCCTCTCCTTGCCTCTCTCTTCCCTTTCCACCCCCTTCCCTCCTCTCTCCTCTTTTCCTCTCCCCTTCTTTTCCCCAAATGCTCTCATCCACCCTCAGCACTGAAAAAAAAAAGGCAGAAATCTCTGCTTTCATTCATGAGCTTATATTCTAATGTATCTGTTTTGTGTGTGTGTGTGTGTTATAGACAGTCGACAAAATATGTAAATATGTAAGTAGTAGAATTCGATGGTGATAAGTGCTAGGGAGAAAAATTCAACAGGAAAGGAGCTAGGGAGTGCTGGGGTGTGTGTGTGTGTGTGTGTGTGTGTGTGTGTGTGTGTGTGTGTGTGTGTGTGTGTGTGTGTGTAGGGTTCAATTTTAACTAAAATGGTCAGAGAAAGCCTTGTTAATATTTGAGCAAATAGCTGAAACAGGAAAGAGAGTCACAGGTGCAGACTGTGGGGAAATGTTTCAGCTGGGAAAATAGCAAGTGGAAAGATCCCGAGGGACAAATATCCTTCACCTGTTGAAGGAGCAGCCAGGAGGCTAGTGTGGCTGGAGCACAGTGAGCTAATAGAAGACCAGTGGGAGATGTGGTCATGGTGGGACTGGGCCGGGGAGGGGGGTGGGGAGGCGAGAAGAAAGTTCGTGTGTGCCTCCCAAGCCGTTCTAAGGCCACTGGCTTTCCTTCCGGGCGAGGAAGGCTCTGAGCCCTGTGATCTGCCTTGGGTTTTATTAGGATCAGTCTGGCAGCTGTGAGAGCAGAGTCTTGTCACATCGTACTGTCAACCCCGCTCATCACCCTCACGGTGGGGGTAACATGACGGTTTTTGCTGGGAGGGGCACGGTTCGAAGATATCAACGCACCACCTCTGTCCATGGAACAGGGCCATTGCTGCCTGCCATGTTGTTTAGCACGAGTCTGGGTCACCAACGATTCCTTGCTGATTCTGCTACTGCTTTCAGTTTGAAATTTTTCTATGATTGGAAAAAAACCCCAAACTGTTGTTCTTATACGGTGGCAGAACTAACAGCGCCAAGACTTGCTGTCACACCTTATGCAGTTGAGTTCGTGTGCTTTGGGCCCTGTTAAGCTTGTTGGGACAATTACATCCTTCCATGACGGGCCCTGCCCCACGTCTCCCTACTTTACCCTGTGATCCTCCCCCCATCTCCTTTTCACCAGCAGGAGAAGTTTTCATTCTCTTTACAGTGTCCTCTGTGCCACCAGGGAAGATGTTTCTTTTGTTTCTCCACAGGGAGAAGGACGTGTGGGTGAGTGACTTGAAGCCAAGAATCTCCTTCAACTTCTTTGTCACTTCACCTAAAAATATGTCTGACATCATTCCTAGAACTGAAGTTGAAGAGGCCATCAGGTGATACTTCACTTTCTAATGCATGATAGCAGGGCAGGGGGTTCCCCAGTGCAGCAGCAACAGTAGCAAATATTTGGTGTGCTTATACAGTGCCAGGCACTCTTCTGAGTCATTTACATGTTTTTCCTCATCTTAAAAACTTGGGTTTTAATTCCAGAATCTCATAGCAAGGGGATTGTCTTAATTGGGTTTATCCAGATACAGGTCCTTAGACAAGGATTTGAGTGTAAGTCGTTTATTTGGGAGGTGACCTCAAGAAACACGGATGGAGGAATGTGGACAGGAGACAGGATGGAAGGAAGGTAATAAAGGACACGTTATGAGCAGGTTACCACTGTGGGCAGCTAGAGCTCCATTCTGCTGGGAATTCTGGGAGACGGCGTAGACTATGCCCCTCAATTGTCCCATCAGAGCTGGGGTATTTATTCACCACCTCCCATCAGTCACTGGTTGAGAACTGCTTACAGGGGAGACTAACTTCCCAGCATTGCTGGCCTGCAGGCAGGGCCGAATCTTGTGGCCTGAGAATGCTCTTGGGAAAAGGCAGCAGATACTGGCTGAAGGAAGCCTGGCCAGCACACCCGGAAAATGGTAAGAGCAGAGGGCACATGGGCAGGTGTCGCCATCATTTGCTGTAGGGACTTTGATGTAGGATCCATTTAACTAACCAAAGTCTGAAACAAGGTAGGCAAGGATAGGATTCCTTAGACACTGGTTAGCCTCCATTCCAAAAGAGGGACTTGATATTGGTGGTGAGTGTTCAGAAGGGACAGTTTTCCCAATTTGCCTCAGCTGTTTCCCAAAACAGCAATAGTGAATAATGGAGAGATGTAGGTGTTTCCCCTTGTCATTAAAAAAAAAAAAAAAGAGGCTTCAGCTACTCACTGCTACAGGAAGTGCTCACTAGGTGGCACTCTTGAGCTGCTGTTCATCTTCGGAAGCAGAAACAAGACTTGCTGGGCAGAGTGGGCCTAGAAAATCTGGTTTAGTGGGGTTTACAACCGGAGTACGCCCAGAGACTCACTGGCTGCCTCCACGTGACTTGTCCTGGGGAAAAGCGCCAGCTGAGATCATCATGAAGGAGCCCCGCCCTCCTGCAAGCTACAGGGGTCCTCAAACTTCCTGTTTCCAGAATGCCCAGACTCTCAGGCAGAGGTTGCCAGGGGTGACATGCCTAATGCTGCTTTGACCTCTCTCTCTCTCTCTCTCTCTCTCTCTCTCTCTCTGGGTGGACTCTGACCTCCTCCTGACCTGCCCTATACCCAAGGGCAGGAGGATGTGATGCCAGACACTTTGGTTTTCAATCTAGAATATTGAACATTTCACTGTTTTTTGTTTTAAAAATAATCTTCACCTTTTTTTTGGCAAAGCCTCCTTCCCTGTATTCCTCCCCAGTGCTGCCTTTTAGTGATAATTTTGGATGTCAACACCTTTCATTTGTAAAATACAACTGTCAAGACTTGTGTAGAGGGACTGTTTCATTTGTAGAAGAGGTGGATGCAGTTGTCCTTTTCCGTTATTTGATATAACATCATTGTAGACATACCCTGACAGAAGGGAAATTCTTACCAAACATGCCAACTTTGCCTTTACAACGCAGTAGTCACGAATGAACAAATGCCAACCATTTGCACGTTTCCACACTTGCAGCCTAATTTTCCAATGGAGCTGTTTCCAAGCCTAATCTAGGTTACAAGATAGGAAGGATGTATAATTGTCAAAACTCAAATCTTTCACTGAACCTGGTTATTTACTTTGATTTCATTGCTTTTTTAGGTATACATTTTTAGGATAAGCCTTATCAAATCCGTTTGGGAACAATGATGTAGGGAGTCAATAATTGCACACAGTTTTCTTTTGCCTAAGTGTTTTGCTTTTGGGAATAGGATGTCCCGGGGCCGTATCAATGATGCTTTCCGCCTGGATGACAGCAGCCTGGAGTTTCTGGGGGTTCAGCCGACGCTGGCACCCCCTTACGAGCCACCTGTCACCGTATGGCTGATTATCTTTGGGGTCGTGATGGGAGTGGTAGTAATTGGTATTGTTGTGCTCATCTTCACTGGCATCAGAGATCGAAGAAAGTAAGTGACCTTTCTTAGACTTATCTATCCTAAAACAGAAAGGTTTAGGGAAAACTAACTGGAAATTTTGCGGTGAGTGGTAGGTTGTACAAGCCAATTCCTTATTTGGACAATTTCGCAGCTACATATTCTTATGCATCCCCTAGAAATTTACCAGATTTCATCAGCACTTTGCCTCCCTAGCAAAGCCCCACCATACAGGACATGTCCAGCCTGGAGTTGGCTGGTGTGCCCTGGTAAACTCCAGCCTGGCCCACAGCATCATTGCCCCCACCGCTAAGAGGCACTCCAAGCCCAGCAGGAGTGAGTGGGCTCAGGGCGTTATCCTTACTGATGAGTCCTCCTCGGTCTAGAACTGACCTCAGAGGCTGGATTAGTGATGGATTTGAACTGTGAAATCATTCGAGAATGAGCTCTGAGATTTGCTCCAAACTGCTACACCCGAGTCCTCTTCATCCCTCCTCTGATAGCACAGACGCCCTACTGTTCCCTGAGTTGATGGGTCAGGCACCCTCTAATTTGTTCTTGAGTTGAAGATCCAAGTTCATGGAGGATTTAAATCACCAGAGACCTGATGTATAGTCTTGCCCTGCCACTAGATTTGTTTTCTGACCTTGAGACGTCATTTACGTTTGTTGGGCTTATATAATTGAAGTTAATCATATTTTATAGCACCTTACAAAACTCTTTGCACACTTTCGGCTGTTTAAACATGTTCTTCAACTTTGACATGCACTAGTCTATTTTGCTCAATTTTCTTCACTATATTATTCTCCCAAGTAACTTCATTTTTTAAAATAGGCATTTACTAGAATACATTCATATAGTTAAAATTTTTTCAGTACAAAAGGATACACAGAGTCTTCTGTCACTCTTTGCTTCCAAGTTCCCTTCCCAAAGCCAACAAAAACGATCGGCTTTTTAAAAATTTTTATTTTATATTATAGTCGATTTACAATGTTCTGTTAGTTTTAGGTGTACAGCAAAGTGATTTAGTTATACATATATCTCTTCTTTTTCAGATTCTTTTCCCACATAGGTTATTACAGAGTATAGAGTTCCCTGTGTTATACAGTAGGTCCTTGTTGATTATCTGGGTTTTTTTGTTGTTGTTTTGTTTTTTTGCCGTTCGCGGGCCTCTCATTGTTGTGGCCTCTCCCGTTGCGGAGCACAGGCTCCGGACGCGCAGGCTCAGCGGCCATGGCTCACGGGCCCAGCCGCTCTGCGGCATGTGGGATCTTCCCGGACCGGGGCACGAACCCGTGTCCCCTGCATCGGCAGGCGGACTCTCAACCACTGCGCCACCAGGGAAGCCCGATTATCTGTTTTATATACAGTGGTGTATATATGTTAATCACAATCTCCTAATTTATCCCTCCCTGCCCTTTCCTCTTTGGTAATCATAAGTTTGTTTTCTAAGTCTATGAGTATTTCTGAAAAACGATCAGTTTTTTGAAGACCCAATGAAGCAGAATCTTTGTTTTAGTAAGACCTGCAGACTTGGACACACATTACAGTTTAACAAGCACTCCTCTACATACTAAAAACTTGCACATGAGACGCTATTCCAAAGTTAATTCACTAAAGAACTTATTTGGAAGCCCCTCCTTCATGCTACACACTATGTTAATAGAAGGTACAAAAATAAGACTGTCAACCGTGCTCATGTATTTCTTACATTAGTGTTCTCAGTGACTGTATGATGTAAATACGTAATTATCTTCATGTATATATAAAACTGAGATTCAGAGAGGCCAAGAAACTTTCTCAAGTTTGCACGGCTAGTCAGTAACACATGAGGATACATGCTTGGTTTCTAAAGCTGGTTATTGTACTACAAAGCAGGCCTACCCTGATCTTTATACTTTGGAAGTTAATAATTTAGTGGGGAAGCTTTTTAAAATGAAGTGATTGGCTGAATGATCACTGAGTTCCTAAAAATAATAATAATGGTCAATATTTATTGAGGATTACATGCCAAGTACCGTGAGTACTCTGCCAGCATTATTTCATTGACTTCACATGATTGCCATCATTTGCCAAATAGGCAAACTGAGACACGGAGGCCTCTGCTCTCTGACTCCAGCGCTTATACCCTAACCAATCTCCTGTGCTCTGCCAGCCATCGTGCCGACCAATCATGGGCCTAAAGAAGTGAATCCGATGCGCTCTGGGTGCCTATGGTCCATTGAGAGGGGGCTGGTATGCAAATGAATACAGGTGATTAGATGCTGAGACAAAAAAGATGCCTGGGCCCAGTGGAGTCCAAGGGAGGCCGTGTCATTCTAACATCACAATATTAAGGTGACTTCACTTTATTTAACAGGAAAAATCAAGCAAGCAGTGAAGAAAATCCTTATGGCTCCGTGGGCTTGAGTAAAGGAGAAAATAATCCAGGATTCCAAAATAGTGATGATGTTCAGACTTCGTTTTAGAAAAATCTCTTTTATTTCCTCTTGAGGTGATCTTATTGTATGTAAATGTTAATTTCACAGTACAGAACATAGGAGATTATAAGGATGTCATTAAATGTCAAAGCTGTGTCTCTGTTCAGGAAAAGTTGTCCAAAGAAGACATGCCTGAGGAGAGGGCATCTTCACTTGCATCGCCTTTAGTATTTGTTTCTGCCTCGGGATTTGACTTCTCTGTTTCCTGAAAGAGGTGTTTCTATGTTTCTCTAAGAGAATAGAGAAAGTTTGTCTTTTGCCTCACACGCTGTTCAGGGGTAATAGAAATGGAAATGTCCGTTGTGTTGCTGGAGTTGAAAAGAAAGGAGACGTGGCAGGAGCAGGTGTTGGGCTCTGGTGTGGAACCTGGGTGGATCACTCTTAAAGACGGTGCCTGTGAACACACGGAGCTGCAGGGATGGAGAACAGCACGCACTGTTCACTTGGATTGAATTCAAGTGTAAAGGATGTCATGCTCTCTTCACATTAACTTGATCTAAGTACTCTAGTGATTTCCCCCAGTGATGATTGGACTGGAACATGCCTTCTTCAGGGTGACAGGGCTACAGAAGAGAGAAGAATCCAGAGAGCCATTGGAGGACATTGCCTTCTCACTTCCAAGCTGCCTGATCACCATCTTCCTGACAACATCAAACTAGCCCCAGGGGCCTCTGTGAACCCCCCTCCGGAGCACCCGTGATAGAAACTCGCTTCCGCTGCTCTCTAACCGTGGAGTGCATGGAGATCCCAACTGAATGCCACCCTCTGAAGTGGGCTGCCAATCTCTTAAATCTTTTGTATTTGCCCACAATGTCTGAGTAGTGCTGAGCACGAAGCAGACACTCAGTAAATACTCGATTTACACACTCGTGTGGTCTTATGTGTGCTCTGTGCTCGGGTTTCTGTGGCTTCAGTCTGCTTTTCACTTCCAGGGACAAAGTTGCCATCTGACTGTCCAGGACTCTTGACCTCCCATATGTCTTGGAATGTATCCCAATGCCTTCAGTTGCTTTATATTTCTTGTATAAATCAATTATAAAATCAGTCGAAAAAGAGTTGTGTTAGAGCGTCTACACCATCAGGTTAGGAACCAAAGCTGGTAATGCTTTTATATATCTCAGAGCCCCCAGCCCAGTTCTGAGCACAGCATCCAATACAGACCTGAAAACTGATTTAAAATGGATTAAATAGGTGGAAATATCCAAACTCTACCCATCAATTCACTTTACGCAGTGACCAGCATACTGTTAGAGTAACTTTGTCAAGTAAGGAGAACTAGCAGCTCCTGCTCAAAAGACCCGAATTTCCGGATGGCTCTTAGGGAAGGGCTTCTAAAGGCAACATTAGGGGTGAGGGTCGTAGGGGACCTGATCAGCTTGTGGACATTCTTCTCATTGATTGGTGGTGAGGTAATTGGGTGGTATTTCTGGAGTCAGCATCATCAACCTTCTGGTTTTAACCAGTCTGGGGTCTACTTGTGGTCAGGATGCAGTTAAGTTCTTCCACCTGGTGGGGGTTTTAGTATCTGCAAAACAGCTCAAGGATACGGCTCAGGATATTATCTGTAGCCCTTGAGGAGGAACTAAAGGTCCTTGACTTTGATTTATGGCTAAACTATTCCTGTCTTGATTGACTGTTTTTCCTTGTTCCTGCATTTTCTCATTTCTCTTATTAAATTTGCTCTTTGGAACTTGGGGAAGGCCTAGGGAGCTAAAGATTTTCTACAAACAAGAGGCAGGGGGAGGGGTCATGTTCCCGGGAAGGTCCCATAGAGTCCTGCTGAGCTTCATTTTTTAGAAGATCAAATATGTAAAAATAAGAAGAAAGGAAAACAGCTTTCAGGGGGGGGGGGGGGGGGACCAGGAAGACCTAGTTTGGGCGTGAGAAATCTTTCTCGGGGGGCTTTAACAGTCTGTGGTGCAAATCTCTGGTGGACGGAATCAGAGCAGCACATTTCATTATATATTGAGATTTTCATACCGTGGTAAAAAAAAAAAATAGAAGACTATTATCATAAGTCGATTCTGCTGAAAATAAAGGAATCATTATTTAAATGTCAAGAGACAAATAAGCAAGAGGGATCATTCACAATAGCTGGGGGGTGAGGGGTGAGCGGGATGAGGAAGGGTGTGAATGTCTCAAAGGAGATTGTTAACTTATATCTGGAAAATGGTAGCAGGGTTTCATTAGTGTCTTTTCACTGTAATAATGCCCTTCACATAACCTTTCTCTTTCCCTTCTTGACATTACAGACATGACGATGATGTACTCCAAAATGATGAAAACCTATGGGTTCAGTACCAGACCGTGAGGGTGGGCATTCCCAGGAAGCTTGAAAGCTAAGGCACCTTTTAGTAATAGCCATAAGAAGGTAAAATAGGACTCCTGTACCTTTGTGTCAAGATAGAAGACCGAAAGAGAAAGTTCAGTTATCAAACTAGCCAGAAGCCCCAGGGCCCCAAACTCAAGGATTTTAAACGATTACAGTAGCGCCCACCCTCCCCCACCCCCCATCTGCGGTTTCACTTTTGACGGTTTCAGTTACCCGCGGTCAACCACTATATGAAAATATTAAATGGAAAATTTCAGAAATAAAGAATTCATATGTTTTAAAGTGCGTGCCGTTCTCAGTAGCGTGATAAAATCTCGCGATTTCAGCTCTGCTCCCCCGGGGTCTGAATCATCCCTTTGGCCAGCATGTCCCACCCGTTAGTCAATTAGTGGCTGCGGTTATAAGATCTGCTGTCGCAGTGCCACACTACTGTGTTCAAGTGACCCTGATTTTACTTAATCCTGGCTCCAAAGCGCCAGAGGAGTGATACTGGTGATTCGGAAATGCCAGAGATAAGACCTAAAGTGCTTCCTTTAAGTAAAAAGGTGAAAGGTCTCAATAAGGAAAGAAAAAAATCAGACGCTGAGGGGGCTGAAACCTACGGTAAGACCAAATCTTCCATCGGTGACATTGCGAAGAAAGAAAAAGAAATTCATACTAGTTTTGCTGTCACACCTCAAACTGCAAAAGTTATGGCCGCAGTGTGTAAATGCTTACTTAAAATGGAAAAGGCATTCAATTTGTACAGTAAGATACTCTGACAGAGAGACCACATTCACATAACTTTTATTACAGTATTCTGTTCTAGTTGTTCTATTTTATTATTAGTTATTGCTGTTAATCTCTTACTGTGCCTAATTTATAAATTAAACTTAATCATAGATATGTATGTATAGCAAAAACATAGTATCTATGGGGTTTGGTATTATCCTCAGTTTCAGACATCCACTGGGGGTCTTGGAATGTATCCCCTGAAGATAAGCGGGGAGTACTGTACAAAGCAACAATCTAATACAAGATCGTGGTTATACTTGAGTTGAAATGGAAAATAGTTAAGTGTAAGGAAAAAGGCATCAAGTTATACCTTAGCATCTTTAAAAATTGTGTCTGTGTGACACATAGTATATTATTGAATTATGTTATTTAACTTTAGTTTTATATTTGTGTACATAATGACATGAATTCATTTTACTGATTTGGATATCAAATGAGAATTGGATCATTTGGATTGAATTATGGACCACCTAACGGTGCCCACCACATAATGAGGTCCCCTAGGGCAGTTTGGACTGACTGCACAGAAACATCTGGGAGCTTGTTAAAAATACAAATTCTTGGGCTGCACTCAGACCTGCTGTACCAGAATCTCTGGGGTAGTTCCTAAGGAACCTGTGTTTTAATAAACTCTCCATTTGATTCTCATACATGCTAAAGATTGAGAACATTGAAACATGAAGGCAAGTGTCACAATTTCCATACTTGCTAATAGCATATTTAATTATCATGATAGTGGTGATATTACGAAAAGAACAAATATCCAACAATTTTTCAATTCTGTTCAATCTTTACATATGGTACACACCCTCTCTATTTTGCAATCAATCAGAAGGTGTGCTTCTGCTATAGGCTGGGAAGTATAATATTAAGAGCAGCATAAACAAAATTACTAATTTGACCTAAATTTCAAGGAAATCTTTTGTTTCCTACCTTGTTCATTTCTAGATAATAGAACAAACAGCACACAAAATACCATTAAGAAGAACTAGCTAAATTACAATGTCTGTGCTTTGCTACATCCCTTAAAAAGAATGAAAATGTTGGCCAACATTTACACTCATTCTCATCAGAACTTCTCATTTCTTCTTCATGGTTTGTCTTTTTCCCGAAGCGGTTCAATGGAAGATAGGAGTTGCTGAAATGTGGGCCGCTTTTCTGGAAGCTAAATAAAAGAAAAACCCAATGGTTTAGTTTATGAGGGCTATGATTAAAAATAAACTATGTAAAATATTTATACCTCAGTCCTAAAACTAGCAAATTTTACAATGTGGAAACACTATAGACATTTCTTCTAAAGAGAAAACAATTAGAGCCCTAAGAATTGGGGAAGAAAAAGTATCTTTATTTGCATAAGATACGACTGCAGACCTTGGAAAACCAAGAGAATTAATGATAGAACCAACCCAAATAATAAAGGAATTCACCAGGAGAGCAGTATATAAAATTAACTTACAAAACCAGTAGCCTTCCTATATGTGTACAATAACCAATTAGAAGATGTAATGGAAGAGAAAACCCCATTTACAATAGCAACAACACCTCAATAAAATATGAACAAAAATGTACCCCCCACAAATGAGGAAAACTTTAAAACGCTGCTGAAAAACACAAACGTAGACTTGACCACATAGAAGAAAACATTGCTTGTCCTTGAATAGGACGCACCAATACCATAAAGATGGTCAATTTCCCGAGTTAAAATACAAACCAAATACAGTCTCCTCCAAAATATGAACAAGCTGGCTTCAAGCTGAACAAATTGATTATCTAGTTTGTGGATTTTTAAATATGTAAAATAGCTAAGAAAACTATAAAGAAAGATGAGCAATGAGGGGGTGCTAGCCTACCTAGTATTAAAACATGTTAAATACAGCAGAAACTAATACAACATTGTAAATCACTATACTCCAACAAAAATTAATCAAAAAAATTAGACATTAAAAGAAGTGTTATAAAGTTTCTGTAATTAAAACAATACAGTGCTAACACATGAATAGAGACCAGAGAACAGAAGAGAAAGTCCCAAAATGAATCCAAATGCCTATGCAAATTTACTATCCTGTTACTGGGTATTTTGACACCATTCGATAGACTGTTATTGCTGGGGATAACATAGTCTTTTAATAAATGGTGCCTCAACAACTGAGTAGTCATTTAGAAAACAAAATCTTTGGATCCATACTTTTTATTCCATATACCAAAACAAACAGACTAGATCAGACACTTAAATGTAAAAGAATGAAACCATGAAAGTACTAGAGGAAAATCTGAGTGAACGCCTTTGCAATCTGGGTGTGGCAAAGCCTATCTAACTATAACTCAGTTTCCAGAAGCAAAAGAAGCAAATAATGATGTAGTCAACTGTATTTTTTTAAAAAGAAAGTTTTGCATGGCAAAGAACATCATAAATTAAATCAAAGATAAGTGACAAACTGGGAGAAAATAATTACAATTTATGTCAGAGATAGAGTATTAATCTCCTGAATTTCTAAAGGGATCTTTAAAATTGAGGTGGGAGGAAAAAAAACCTTATAGAAAAAGGGAAAAGATATGACATATAATTCTCAGAAAGATATACATATGCTCTTCAAAATATGCCTCACTCATAATGAAAGATGTACCTAGGAAAGCTGCACTAAAATGCCATTTCTCGTCTATCAGATCGGCAGGAATTCAGAAGCTTAACAATGGTCTGTGTTGCTAGAGGGCCGATGCCTGTGGAGAGGAATTTGTATGCTCTTTTTTTTTTTTTTGTAAGAAAGAAAGGGAAACAAAACCACACACCTATACATACGTGTTCATTTTTGTACAAAGAAATACGGGAAAGCTAAACTGGAATCTAATGAAAATTGTGAATTTTCTCCCCAAAATTGTGAAATAAAATACCAAAAAGAAGGGAGACTGAACTACAAAACACTCACTATAAGCAGGACCTTCAGCTGGGGACTGCCCCCGTGCAACCCCCTCTCAATGGATTCTGCCCCAATCCTCACACTTTCATGGACCAACTGTAGGAAGAAGGCAGTTCCTTCCTGTTCAGGGCCCCCTGTCCATCTGATGGTGCAGGCACATTCCCAGGAGCTGGAGTGGGGAGGGCCAGGGAGGGTCCCAGCTTCAACTCAAACACCCTTGTCTGCTCCTCTTCTCCATCGGCCAGGTGACAGCAGTGAGTCTGCCTGGTTGTGGGCAGTGCCAGGTCTCTAACCCTTCTCTGACCCTCTAGTGCTGCCTAAGGCTCTCATCCCCTTTACATTTGGGGTAAAAAAGAGTGGGAGAGCCTTAGATAGTATTTCAAGTGACATTGGGTGGGAAGTCACCAAGTGCCCACATTCCAAGAAGAATTTAAGCTAAAAGATAAAATGTTACGTGATGCAGTCAGTAACTCTTCCAAAGTGGAATTCTAGGCTCCAACACAAGAGATGAGGAACTCTTTAAATCCTGTGCAGTCATTTATTCCTAGCACCCGCATAGTGCCTGGTGCACAGCTGCTCTATTAATATGTAACAACAACGACAACCACTTAGAGCACTTACTGTATACCGGGCACTGTTCTAAGGACTTTATAATATTAACTCATTCAATCCACACAATAATCCTATCAGTTAAGTACTATTTTATAGTGAAGCACAGAGATGTTAGGAGGCTTATGCAAGGTCCCACAGCTAGCATTCAACCCAGAGCTAGCATTCTGGCTCCAGAGTCCACACGCTTAACCACGACACTGATCTGTCTCTTACGAGTGAATGAATGAATGTGTGAACGCATGACGGCAGCATTAGGCCCGTTTGTCAATGAGGCCACACCGTATAATGGCTATGGGCTGCGGGCTCTTAGATGAATGTTCTTAGAAGTCTCTTATCACATCACTCGCAAATGTCTTCAGGGGCTCCGTGTTGCCTATAGAAAGCCAAACTCACACTCCTCTCCTTGTCATTCAGGCTACAGGACCAGACGTACTC